TGTATATGAGTTTTCAGATGTGGTAGTGGTAATTAAAGCATTATTTATTTCCTTAGAGGCGACAAATAGTCCAGCGGTTTCGGTGTCGAATTGTCGATTGAAGGATCACTTACTTTGTTCGTTTGTTTCAGCCAAATGGGATCACTTAGGTACTTACTTTGAACCTAGTTTAGGTGGTGTTTTCAACGGAATTTTAATTTATTTTTTAATCACAAATGATTAGATAGTCCTTTAAAGCTTCTATACTAACTTACTCTCAGAAATGTATGACAGAAGAAAGGTGTGGCAAAATTATTTGGTGGGAAAAAAGAGTAGAAACGAGTTGTTTGCATCTGGTTTAGGGGCGTGCGATTAATGGCAGCCATCAACGCCTACAGCCCTCTGAATTGTTTTACCCGCACGATTTAACCCATGAATAATAAGGCTACCTATTCTTAAGGAGTTTTTCATTTCTCTGGCAACACTCCGGCACAAATTCATCATTGTTATAGACGATTCACCACATTATATATTTTTAGGGTAGCATATAAAGAGGTTTTAAACAACCTATTTTTGGTTTTTGGCGGTTCGTACAAAAGAGTGCCAACGGGACCCAATATTAGTTTAGCCCCTGCTGTACGAGTACATCCATCAGTCTGTCTGCTAGCGGACTGATTTCATGAACTGTAACACAAATAAAGTTGAAATATTGACAGTGTACAGATAGTATAATACCTACAAAAAATTTTATTTGTAATTTTGAGTTGAGTAAGTAAGATCCACGAGTCTATTTAGGTATAATCACGCCAATAGGATATTTTATTGTTTACACTTCTTATATTATTTTTTCATTCTTACATAATTAATTATTCAAAATCCTCTCGTTCAAGAATAATTTTCCTCAAAAGATAATTTTCGTTTTAACTTCCTAAATTCATAAGTGGCAGATACTCGAACAAGGCGCATATTGAAGGAAAGCTAGTCGTCACGCTCCAATGGGTGCTCCGAAAAAGGTTTGATTAAATCAAAATTTAATATGGAGCCCTCCAATTTTTACTTTATTAAGTTATCCGGCCATTCATTTCATCCATTTTAGCATTCCTTTGTAACTTTTATACTTAACCGACCATTTTTATCTAGTTATCCGCTTGGGAATATTTGTTTTTAAACTCACAGTTAATGAGATCCAATTCCCAGACATTCTGTATTTATAATATTTAGGTAAACAGCAATACCTATCATTTTATTTTAATCCAGCTGCAGCTAACTTTCTTTAAGCCACCGGTCCATTTAAAAGCAAGTAGGTATCCTACTACAAATTTTTGGATGAAATGTGTTAATTTCATAGCTGTCGAATCTAACTAAGGTGAAGTTTCTANAGGGGTCATCCATAAAGTACGTCACACGTAAAGAGGGGGGGAGGGGGTTGACAAAGTGTGACAAGGGGTGGGAGGGGTCCTAAGTTTCGTGACATCACATTTCAATTGTTTTAAATGTTTGATATACATAATGTTGTATTCATAAAAAAATGTACTTAATTTAAATGGAAATAAAACTAATTTCGGAACTGCCGTTAATTTAATAATTTTTCGATGTGAAATTGCAAAACATGTGACGTCACACTAGGGAGGGGGGGGGTCTCAGAAATGTGACCACCTGTGACAAGGACGGAGGGGGGGTCAAAAAATCATGAAATTCGTGTAACGTACTTTATGGATGGCCCCTAACAGTTAAAATTATATGGCCTATTATAATTTGCTTACATTCCATAGTTCCACATAGGTACTTGCGTCACTCCCGGTTGCTGAGCAGTCCCCACTGGGCTAGTATAACCACTTATACAGTTTAAACACTACTTAGGTAAAGACTATGTCCTGCCGTGGGACGTCTACTTACTCATACAAACACGTTAACTTACGTTATGTTTAATATTCAAAATGCAGCATTAAAGTTTCCATTCTGCAAAGTGCAATTTTATCGTATTTCCCAAGTTATGCAAACGGCTGCATGAAGCGAAAAACGGTCGTTGTAAATCTTAGGGACTCTACACACCAATACCGTCGAAACACCGGCTTGGTGTCGGCGGCTTCATTTCAAAAGAATCATGTCGACAACTTTTACGAACGCGTGTCGCCCGGCGAGTTGTGGTAACATGTGGGCGGCATTTCTTCGACTTTGCTCATTTGTCCGCCGAAACTAGAGAAATACAACACTACATAGTAACTGTCGAGTTGAGAGTTGATAGTAACTGCCAAAAAAGTTGCTGATGTCGTGCCACGAATAAAGTTTTCCAATTTGAAAGAGATGTGAAGTCGCCGACTAACCCGCCGACGCAAAAATCAACGGCTCATGTCGGCGGGATTGGTGTGAAGACTGCATTAGAGTACACCGTGGGAATCCTAGTTCGTGTTTGTCGCTGGCCCGGGAGAACTAATTGGTTTATTAGCTGGCGCTTAATCCCCGCGCAGACACTTCCTAATAGCGTCAGATTAAGCGCAGTCGTTGGATGGGAAAAAATACAGCGCTTTTCTTCGGGAATAGTAAAGGTTCATGCATAAACGAGATCGGAGAAGTCAATTTCGTTCTTTCCCATTTGAGCGATCTGTAGAAATGTTGTTATGAGGATTCACGAACTAGACACGTGCGAATTTAAAAAAAGATAGCTAAGTATATTGAGCTTACGTAGTCGAATTCGAAACAACCTAAAATCAAGTTAGTTTTTTATTTGCTAGACATTTGCTAGTTTATTGCGTCTCTAGCTCTGCGCTATCAGGCGATCGAAAGTACCAAGATGCAATGCAGTAAAGTATCCATTATCTTGAATAAAATGTTAATATTGTATCTTCCAATACAGAAAGCAACCTGATTTTCTTTTAGTTCGTGGATAGGTAGGTAGGTAGGTGGTAGCTTCGGAAACAAAAAACAGTCGTTATAAAACTTAGTAAGTAATAGACAGATACAGCTGGGAATCTTAGTTCCAGCCAAATGACGTCCTCTGCTGGACAAAGGCCTGAATTTGCACAACGACCGGTCCTGTGCCACACGCATCCAGGTACCTCCCGCGACCTTTACCAGATCGTCAGTCCATCAGGTGGGGGCCCTGCCCATATTACATCTTCCGGCCCGTGGTCGCCGCTCGGGAACTTTTCTGCCCCAGCAGCCATCAGCTCTGCAAATTATGTGCCACTCGATTTTAACAATTCTGCGAGCTATGTCGGTCACTTTGGTTCTCCTGTGGATGTCCTCATTTCTGATTCGATCACGCAGGGAAACTCACACGCAACAAAAATAGCACGCTCCATAGCCGTTTGGGGTTTGTATCTGCCCGAGAAAAAACGGTCGTTCTAAAACGGTAGTACTAATACCTACAGATAGATGCAGCTAGGAATCCTAGCTCCTCTTCATCAGCTATGTCCGTTTTGTATCAGGTCCGGGAGGACTAATTGGTTTAGTAGCTCACGCTTAATCCCGGCCGGCGTGGACACATCCTAATAGCGTCAGATTAAGCACGAGGGATGGGAAAAATTCCGGGGCTCGCCTCTATAATGGAAATAATCCAATATTCATGATAAGCTTCTTTGTTCGGGGATGTGTCACCTTTGCTTTACTAGTATATTTTTTAACTATTAAAGATTGAAANATCCGATGTTTTGAAAAGCTATTGAAATACTCGATGTATCGATGTTTTTAAGTTTTCAGTGTTAAAACATCGAATCGATTATAACCAATTAAAATTTCATAAAACTCAAGTCTGCTGACCACTAAAATTTTACTTATACGGACAACCCAACTTGTATTTTAAAAATGTTGGCAACACTGCGTACGAGTGCAGTGAGTAGTGTCTCTAGTGACAATAAAAAAAACTGTTATGTCAATGTCGCGTCACGCGTGTCGGTTGGCGAGTTTGTTTGTGTCAATCAACAAAGAAATAGGCTGAAAGGCAAACGTTTAAATAAACTGTTGTTTTTGCAAAGTCTTCCAAAAGAACACTGGAAATACTTAGGATATAACAAACTAATAAAAATAAAAACAAAACAACAACTTATAAAAATAAATGCGGATGTTTTTTTTGTTCTTACTTTAATATACAGGGTGTTAGGTAAATGGGTATTTGAGCCGACACTAGCCCAAGTTAACATGGTCATATAAATGGTATGGTGAAGAACCTCCACTTTAGTGGAGGAGGCTCATAGTCCAGCAGTGGACTGTAAAGGGCTGTTGATGAATAGATATTGGGGGCTCCCCATACTTAGAACTGAAACTCAAAAAATTTTTTTTCATCAAACACATACGTGTGGGGTATCTATGGATAGGTCTTCAAAAATGATATCGAGGTTTCTAAAATACTTTTTTTCTAAACCGAATAGTTTGCGTGACAGACGCTTCCAAAGTGGAAAAAAGCTGGTCCCCCCCCCCTCTAACTTCTAAAATAAGAAAATGAAAAATCTAAAAAAAACATATGATGAACATTACTATAAAAAGTAAAAACTACCAACGAAAATTGTTTTGAACGAGATTTTTTTAATACCTCGTAAATCGTAAACCGCTTATTACCGCGTAATCTTTCATACTAATAACTTAAATAAAAAATAATAATTTTGATTTCATAAATCAATGGTACGGAACCCTCGGTGTGCGAGTCTGACTCGCACTTGGCCGGTTTTTTTAATAATACAATGATTAAATTAGTGGATTATAAAAAATCTTAAAAAAGTACTCGATTTATACAAAACATCGATGTTTTCTTCCAATACATCGAAAGAAATCGATGTACAGTTTCAATATATCGAATCGAAAAAAACATCGATGTTTTTTCAAAGTGGACACCCCTAATTAAAACTTGTACTATTATCAGCAAAAAATGTTTATATTTTTTTTGTGTGCCAAATTAATATTTATTCAATTTAAAATGCGGCCCTGTTCGACGATATAGTATTTTCAATGAAAAAGCGGATGTTCGTTTAGTAGTAATTCCAAGATAGTGGCAACACTGAACCTAAATGTCAAAATCGAATTCTACATTCCACAAACGTCAATGTCAAAACAAAGGTCAACATTCCAAACGATGTGAGGTCGAAAAATTTTGCGCAAAATGTTTAACAAAGTGCTCCAACGCGCTCTCAAGTTCCGGCTGAAGAAGAGCTATCCCACAAACATCTATGACTTGTCTCGGGGCTCCGCCATTGCGGTTAAGAGGCCGTACAGCGACGAGGTGCGACGCGCTCAAGCCCAGAGCATCGCGACGCCCGGCCCGACGATATTTGACAAGATCATTTCCAAGGAAATAAAGGCGGATATCATTTACGAAGATGAGTTCTGCCTCGCTTTTAACGATATCTCGCCTCAAGCTCCTGTACATTTCCTGGTTATACCTAAGAGGCGAATTGCTAGGCTTCAAGACTCAGTGGATTCCGATAAAGAGGTATGTACTAGAAACCACGTAGTTTTATAGCTATTTGTTGTTAAAATTCTAGAATGTGCCTTTCTTAAGTAAAATAAGAGAATAGGTTTCTGATTGTTGGTGATAACCTAAGATGCTTTTACACTACCCTCAAGGTTAACCAGTTTTGTCCATAGAAATTTTAGCATGTTGATTTCTTAGTTTTTTTTGGACAGCTACAGTAATATGCATAGTAGTGCTAGCTTTTGTTATTTATGATTACAACTGAGACAGAAACATGGTATCAGAATATTTGACGCGCTGTAAGCTAGAATTAAAATGAAAATTGAGTATGTCTCTTCTGTTTGCTCTGGTCAGTTCGTTCTTATTTTATTTTCTATAGTCTTGTGCTGAACTACAGTAATGTCCGTAAATGAGATGATCTGCCATGATTGTGTGTGATAAAATTTTTATAACATGGACTTATTAGATTCTTTTTCTGCATACTGAAATTTTAGGTAACACAAATATCCTTTATGAGCCTAGGTCATTTATGCATTGCATTTATGTGCCTATTTCATTTTGATGATGATGATTTATTTTATTTTTCAGCTAATTGAAAATTTATTAATTTTTTTGCACTTATCTGAAATATATGTATAAAAAAACAACTACAAGGTGGAAATTATTTGAATGTATCTTGTCATTGTTCATTAAATTAGTTTTTTCAGCTATTATTTTGCGAAAAAAATTTTAGTATTATTTGCAAAACTATAATATTGTATTTGGCTATTATAGCTAATGTACAGAATTGCATTAGTTTTCACAACATTAATTAACCGTAATACTCATCGTTCTCGGGTATCTTTTAAGAACGTGCTATCAAGTTATTTGTCACAATCATAAAGATAAGCATCAGCTGTGCATTCCATTGAGCTACGTAGTACTATTATTTATTCCATTGTCTGTAAAGTACGTAAATATTGTATGACAAATAAATCTATATTACTACTAGCGGCCGCCCGCAACTTTGTACTCGTGGATCCCTTAGGGGGTGAATTTTGTAAATCCATCTTTGTAAGCTTAGCACTTGTAATTTCTGAGATTTCGTGATGAGTGAGTCAGTCAGTGACCTATCGCTTTTATAGATATATGTAGATAAAATAGGAAAGTATCTGTTTCTTACCTAATCATTGCACCAATTTTGATAAGAATTGGAATTTGGGGTATTATCATTAAAGAGTTAAACAGGCACAAAAAGTTTGAGAATTCAATTATTTCTTACTACTTTATTCCCATGTCTTCACCCGTGTGAATATTGGTCTGTCACAGACAGATGCGTATCCATTTGAAAAGCTTAAGTTTCTTGCGAATAGACATGCGGCGGAGGACTTTGTTTTGATACAATGGGTTGATTTTAAACAAAATCTTTATTACTATATTTTTTAGAATACGAGGGGCTAACGGGTCTACATAAATTAGTAATTTAGCCCCTTGTACTCGAGTGAACTCATCACAAAAGTCGCGCGTCAGTGGGGTTCGAACCCGCGTTTCCCGGATGAAACAAACAGCCAGTCTGACCCCTTCACCGTTATTTAAGCCCTTACTGTTTTGTACTCTGCTTTGTTTTTCGGGAACCGTCGCGATATGCTCGCGTCCGAAATACCGCAGTGTCTCAAGACAAGTCTTTGAACCGAGAACCTGAGACGTGGTCGCTTGCTATGGGCCTCATAAGAAGGCTCAAGGTCACCCAAAGGGCGATGGAGCGGGCTATGTTCGGAGTTTTTCTGGGCACTAGGTGGACGGACGATCTGGTAAAGATCGCGGGAAGAGCCTAGATGCGGGCAGCGCAGCGAAAATCCTTGGGGGAGACCTTTGTCCAGCAGTGGACGTCATTTGGCTGAAACGAACGTCTTTTATTCTAATTGGTTACCAGATTTCTCCATTAAGCCTTGTCTAAACTGCAACCATTACGCCCCTTTCTAGTGAAATCCATTATCTCAGCTAATGGGTGATAGTCTCCCGGCCGTTATCTGTGAGTTAACTGAAAGGCACGCGATAACGCTGATTATTGCTGATAACGCGATTGCCGGCCGAGGCGTGGTGTTTAAAAACTCATTTTTATCCGACTGTGGATGTGAGGGTCATGTTTTTAGGCTGAATTTGTAATTGATAATTTTATGTAGGACCAGCTCTTAGAAACTTAAAAATTAAACATCGGAGAATTAGCACAGGGAGCAGTGATTGTAAGTGTGGAAATGCCTTACGTGAGCTTAGGGTCCCTTTACCCTAAGATACTGAGTCGCTAGTCCTCTTACCTAACAACAGATTTATTTATTTTATTTATAGATACATAGATCTGTATCTATAAAAGCGAAAGGTCACTGACTCACTCATCACAAAATCTAAGGAACTACAAGTGCTAGGAGTCTAAAATTTTAGAACGTAGGGTGCTCACTAAGACGGGATTTTCCTGTCTGGCACTGTCTGATCAAACCGTCTCTACCAGAAGAGCGCGCAATCCTCATCACGTGTTGGTTCCCGCTGAAAACCAACTTCTCGGCATGACGTTTGTGTCATGTCGCGATTTTTACTGAGCGGGCGCCTATTCAGCATATTTTAATATTAAGTTAATCATGTCTACTCTTGCTTTGTCCACCATATTGTGCTGAATAAAGAAAACAAAATTCAACCCCTAAGGGGGTAAAACGGGATCCACGCGTACGAAGTCGCGGGCGGCTGCTACTCCGGGTATAAAGCTTGTTTTTAACATAAAAAACTCTCATAAAACTCATTTATTTCTGTAAATAGGCTTAAAAAAAGCACTTTTACACGTCCCAGTATTAACCCTACCACTGCTTCAGGACAATAAATGGGCCAGTGCTGAGAAGAAGCAGCGCAAGAAACTCAGTCACTATTTACTCATTTTTTTCTCGTTTCCAGCTGCTCGGGCACCTGATGCTAGTAGCTCGTTCTTTAGGATGCGCACGCGCTCCGTCCGGCTGGCGTTTGGTCATCAACAACGGCCGTGACGGCGCGCAGTCGGTCTACCACTTGCACCTGCATGTCTTGGGAGGAAGGCAGATGGGCTGGCCGCCGGGCTAAGATCGGTGTTGCCAGTGATGAAAACGCGAGGTGAATGGTAGTTTTTGGTTTGGCAGAAATATTCAGTGGACTGAGTGTGAGTTTACATCACTAGTGAGCGCGTTTAAAAATTGTATGAAAATTTTAGTTTTTGATAGTTTCCCGTTAGGGGCGCTGTACAATCCGTCATACATTTAATGTCATTTTTTGACGCACTCACTAGTGAGCACGTTTGAAAAAAACTCACACTCGGCCCTCTGTAAGGGATTTTTGAAATTAAGTCCTTAAAAATTAATAGTAACAGATAAAAAGTTATTCAATTTTGCAATTACCCTTTTTGGGTCTTAAGTAGGTTAAATACGGCCTTAGCCCGTGTTGCCATAAATGAAAATGCACAATGTAAAAAAATGGTAGTTTTTGGTTTGGGAGAAATATTAAATGCCTAAGGGCTATTTGAAATTACTTTTTGGCCCCGCAATCGGGCCCTTGTCTCAAATAAAGAGTTCTTTCGTTTTGCCACCATTTATTTTGACTATAAAAAGGCCCCTAGGGTCCCCAGTAGGCTGAAGACGCCCCTGGGTAAGAGTCCAGTGTTGCCAGCAGCGAAAATGTAAATGTTAATGGTAGTTTTTTAATTTGGCAAACATATTCAGTGTTTAGTGCTCTTTCAAATACGTCTGAGCGCTTGTAAAACCGCACACTTTTGTTTTTTATTAAAATTTGATATACTGGCAACACTGTTCATAAATTAACGTTAAATTACTGAATAAATTCTAAATGGTTAAATGACCTCTTTTTTTTTGTAAAAAGTTCCGTCATTTTATTTATTTCTTAAAATGTAAGTGCCTTTTAAATTACATTTATTATTAAAATTAATGTACATTAAGCTACTAACCAAATTATGTACAAACATAGTTTTGTATAGTCGTAGGCACAACAGTGTCATGGGCCAAGTTCAACTAAAGTCCCAAAAGCTCAATTTTTTACTAAAGAATATCGTGTCATAATAAAAAATAACGCCATAGTTAGCTTGTAGTGCAATATATTGGCCAAATTAGTTTTGTAAGTTTACTAAAAATTGTTTTAAATATAAATACAATTTGAATTGGGTGGTATTTTGTATTGGGTTCACAGAAAACACGGTGGTCAATTCCGTATTATGTATAGCGTAGGGCGTGCCACTTCAGTGGATTGATTACATACAATCCGGACGAGTTAACTACGCACCAGGCAGCCGTGACGTCACATCGACGCTCTGTACCTCTAGCATGAACAACTTTCGTCTTCGAATCGTTTGCTTATTCGACAAAATTCGATTTTCAGCCTTCTAATTAAACGATAACGTGACAATTTTGATTCTCAAAAGCAATCATGCAACCATTTCTCGTACTAAGTTCACTTTACGACACGTTCACAAGGGCGCTGTTGTAGTTTTCGTACTAAATCTTTTGATGGCGATTCGAATACGCAAACGATTCGGACTCGAAAGTTTTTTGTGCTAGCCGTACTGGTACGCATGGGGCGAACGCGGGGATGTGTGCGGGTGAAGGTAGCATTCGGATCAAGACGACCGCGACGCGGCGTCTTTCCATTCTATACATAGCCAGAACGCAAGGGTGTGAAACTAATCGAGTATAGTTTGGATATGACTTTTTTTACTAAGCTCCTCCAAACTATACACGACCAGTACGCATACGCTGCGTACTGCTCGCGTATACTTTGTAGTGACTTAGGTCAATTATCTTCCTCCAAAATATACATCGCCAGTACGTATACGGACTAATCATGTATGTATTGTAATAAGTGCGTGATTACAATTTATACGCGAGTAGCTGCATGCTAGTCATTTTGACTTATTGACCTCTCTTTCTATTACATACTAGCTTTCCGCCCGCGGCTTCGCTCGCGTGGAATTTTGTCTGTTACAGAAAAACAATATCGCGCGCGTATTTGCTCACCGTTTAGACCTACCCTGGACTAGACCGCGACCGGCGACCGCGACCCACTGCTTTATATGAATTAATAGGAAGTGCTGACGGATGCAAGCGACCGAGTCGCGCGACGTGTGGGCGTGGCCTGCCGGCTACTTGCGTCGCGCGACTCGGTCGCTCACAAGGCAGTGCCGTGGCGCGACAGATGCAAAATGGCCGTGTTTTCTTCGCACGAAGACGAAATTTTAATAGAATTAGTAAGTAAAAACGCACCTGTATTCGATACGAGACTTCAAGCTTATAAAGATAATACTGTGAGAGACAATATTTGGGAAAAAATTGGAAAAGCATTAAATAAAACAAGTAAGTTCAAATGATACATATTTTTATTAGAAAAGGTACTTATTTTTATTGTTTACAGATAGGTACTATTTTACTTTAACTGCAAACATACTGAGTTTCGTATGGGTCGCACGACTCGTGTCGCGAAGATTCGTAAGTAGCTGTCGCCCTGCGACCTGCGACCGGTCGCCGGTCGCGGTCTCGGGTCGCGGTCTCTCGTCGCGGTCGTCTTGATCCGAATGCTATCTTTAGTGGGAGGGAGAGTCGTATTCCAACGAGGTGAGCAGATAGCTCGATCGGCTTGACTCGATTAAGCTGGTTAACGCCAGACCTATGTAATTTTATAAAAGCTGAAAGTTTGTCAGCGTATGCTCCCAATATAGGTTAGAATGTTGGTGGATCATTAGGTTTGGGTCATCGTGGCTTTGGCAGCTATCCTAAAAAAACTGTCTGGCAAGGAGTTGGAACTGTCAAATCGTTGCCAAAGCCACGATGATGACCCAAACTTCATGATTCACCAACATTCTCTCCTATATTGGCTCGTGGTGAAAGTTATTCTTGTGCAATGAAGACGTAAATTTCAATTTTATTCTGTGAAAAGGGCGAATGATATTATTACTGTTTTTCTCTATTTTGAGATGAATACGTTTGCCACGAGAATTTTCCTTCACGCCATGCTGCAAGTCTATTGAACAGTGGACGTCCTATACATGTAAAAAAAGCTGGAATTTGTTTACAAGAAGTAATGCCACAGTTTGGAGCTCATGAATACTGGAGTGGTTTTATGATATTTACAACAATGGAAGTTAAAATCCAAAGTTTGTTTTTCATGCATAACAAGGCAGGTATTTGACCGCAATCGCACCTGGTGTTAAGTGAGATGCTGTCTAGGATGTTACATATCTGCCCTGTAAGTGCTTATTCACTCTCGCCTTGAAGTTTTGTACAAAATTTTACAATTGTATTTGACGTTTTAACCGTCGTTGCCGCTATAAGGTTTAATACGTTTTTTTGTGAAAAATAGTCGCAAACAATTTTAGTAAAACCTATGGTTTCTATGAAATTAATAAACCAGTAGTAAAATACTCAATTTAGTCAATCAACTGCCTCATTATTAGATTATTATATTACCGTGTGTTGTTGTAATTCATGAAACTGCTTTAGTCACCGTATCAAATGCAGATCACACGAACAAGCCATGTTCAAATTAAAATAATATTTTTAATAGAAAGATATTTTACCTGCGAGTCTCTGACATTGCATTTAGGAAATGAAATAAGTTTTTATAACATTAAATTGTCAGACAATAGTATAGTAATAAATTAAATTAAAAAGTCAACTTACGGCCTTTTACATCTAGACACGCGGTAGCGTGTCAAGCCAAGTTCAAGTAACAGAACTGGCGAGCATTAGTCTACGAATCCAAAGTACACTGGTTTTTCAACCTTCCAAAAAAAATTCTCCAATGAATATTTAAGCCTTATGTCTAAAAGAATAAAGTTTAAAGTTCACTGATGAATTATTTGTATTTTAGAATGGTTGATGTTCTGCCATAATGAATCTTGTTTATGTGATCTGTCGTAGAATCTCAGTGCAAAATCAGAATCAGTTTAGTCAAAGTAGTCAAATCTAGTCACTACAAAAGTTAGGTCCCCTTCTTTAAAAGAAATAGCGACTTTATCACCCAGTGGTAAGGTGCTACTTGCTATGCACAGAAATGTTTACTATGCATATGCGTGTGAATTTGAACTGTATTGCGGCGCGTTAGAGTTGCCTTTACTCTGCGCGTGCGACTTTTTAGCTAAGAAGTGGACTCACAAATAGCTGTAAGCAAAAAACTGTGGTATTTTTTTCATAGCAACAAATCCCAGTGTTTTTTAATTAATTTGTAATTCAGAATTAATATTATGGATTTGAAATCTTGTTATTTGTAGTTGTTCAAAATGTTACATATTTTTAACTTGCTTTTATTATTCTTTATCTCTTTAGAATAAGTTTGTTTCAAATATCAAAATGAATTGTTAATTTAGTTTAATAATAGCTGAGCGGTTTAAAATTAACGGCTTGTTCTGACATGTGATCTGTCATTGTCAGTGTCACTGCAGTTGACAGTTAGAATGTGTGTTGCCATTGTGAAGCAACAAAAATTAATAGAAACTGAAAAATAACAAGCTGTCAATTTTGTCCCGCGAATACAATTTAAAGTTCTGTTCTAAGATTATAATAGACCGTTTTCACTGTCCGAGAGAACAAGAAATGCAAGTGGAGTTCTTAGAATCGTTTTTTAGTTCTGAATGAAGTGATAAGTTAAAAGAATGATGCATAATGAAATTAGTTACTTAAAGTATAAGTGTACCAGAATCTCATGGCAAACAAAAATATTGGAAAAGTGTGTTTTTCATATGGCCATTGTCTATGGCTCTATTGTCATCTGTCAAAGTAAATCAAGAGATCTGTCAGTAGTAAATGAATTGGGAACTCTAGCACAAGCAGTTAGTTAGTTAGTTAGTTTTGCAGGGCAATCGATTACCGCACTTAGCCTCATGATAGGGCCATTGTGCGCGATTTGAGGTTTNTTGTTCTATGGCTTGTTGACTATAATCCTAGACTAACAGCGCGCGCACAAAGTTGCCCGTTCAGAAGTTATGAGGTTCCGAAAAATGAAAAGTAAAGTAAGTAAAATTGACTTTTCTTTAGATAAGACGACAAGAGAAAGGTTAATTACATTACTAAAGTATATAATTTTCATGTTTTAGTTGAATCTTTAAAGATTTATACCCAAAAAAAGATACTTTTACTTACTTTAATTTTCATTTTTTGGAACCTCATAACTTCTGAACGGGCATCTTTGGGCGCGCGCTGTTAGTGCAGGATTATAGTCAACAAGCCATAGAACAAGGCTCAATGTGACTCGCCCAGTTCAATTTGTGGTCAAAGGTGATGCCCAGATACTTCACTTGTGTTGAGAGGGAGAGTTTTGTTTTAAAGAGTTCTGGTAGCTGGAGCTCTGGTAGTTTCCTTTTGTTAGTGAAAAGGATTAGTTCAGTTTTGTTTGGGTTTACTGACAACTGGTGGTCGCTGCACCAGTTTTCAACAATGTTCAGGGCTGAACGCATTATTTCACATAGCACGTTTTCAGCCCCTCCGTTTAACAGTACGGTGATGTCATCTGCATATCCAATGGCCGTGTACCCTCTGTCATTTAGTTTCCTTAACAGACTGTCCACTACCATGTTCCATAGTAGTGGNAATCTATTCGTGCAAAAATCTTATAAATTAACATAGCCGTTTTGGAGGAGTAGGGAATTTAAGTAAAAAATCGATGTCCCGTATTTATTTTTTTAATCCAAAACAAAGAGACGTAGCGAAAATTCAAACGTCACAAATATAGTCCTTGAACTGTTGTATAACATATATTTTTTTCAACTATTTCTGTCCAGCAGTAAAAGAGGAGTAGGCTTTACAAAATGCCCATTTGGCGCGGATTGAGGACACTAATCGCCTTAAAGAAAGATTCTTTTTTGTGAGCGGAAAACATTAGCTTATAATTTGTATAATATACCGCAGTTACCTCAGAAGTAGACACGGTCCATTATAGTCGAAAAACCAAACAAAATTATGTATTTACAGTCAGTTGCACATTTGTGTTCAATATTGAACTTTATCAATTTGTAAAGTACGGTCGCCGAGCACGTAGAATTTCCTCCAATGACCCTCGCGACTATGCTGCAGTTAGAGTGCGAGCGCGACAGCAATATAATTACGCGCGAGCGATAACGATGTGTAGCTTGGGGGTCATTGGACGAAATTCTACGCGCTCGGCGACCGGACTTTAATAAAGATCACCTTGTCATATTCCTGTACACCTGACTGTACTAGTTTCGAATGTGTACCTTTCTTCTTTTATTTTTATCAGTCGGTGTTTTAATTTCAATTCAAATTTTTTAATTGAACTGCAAACAATAACTTAAAATGTTGCCATCGTAAAATAAATGTACACTGTGTACAATTTGGAATAAAATACCGACTTGACACTATTATTTGCTGATTATTGTATTGTATTTTATTTTATTAATTGATTTCGTCGTTAGGGTTGTGGGGACGGACCGCGGTGTTGCCTGTTTTTGTAATTTTAAAAACAGATGTCAACAGCGCGCGATGTCAACATTTACGTTAAGAATTTAAACTGTTTTAAATTCTGTAACCAAAGTTTTTTAATTATTAAATGATTGTATTATTATAATGTTTTTAAATTGTAAAAAACAGTCGAAAGACTAATGCCCGATTTTACCATCAATCCCTAATTTTTAATTAACCCCTCTGAGAACAAAATTCCTGTTGTATGTTACCTTAAGGATCACTTAAAAATGGGGAAAACGAGCATACATGACCTAATGATGACTATGTTAGGACTACAGTTAAAGTATGAAATAAAACAACAATAAACGGCGTCCGTACAATGTTTAATAATAATTAAATTACTTTATATTATGTATAAGTAATATTAGTTCTCGAACAGTCGGTCCAGGTAGAGTCTAAACCTAAACTTTTCCCTTTAGAATAAAAGGTACACGCAATTTGAACGCTAGTTTAAAGTGACGATTAGTAAATAAAAAATAAATATCCAAGACATTTTCTGTGCCATCTAGTTTCTAAACTACAGCAAGAGTGTTTTGCTATACACAATAAACAAAAACATTTCAACATTCAACAAAATTGCCTTCAAAAATGTTGAATGTTGATAATTGTTTTTGTTGATTGTATAGGGCAAACTGGAGACCCAGCTTATGTCAAACATTTATTATGAGTTTTCGGTACTAAACGTACTTTTTGAACTTTTTTTAAATACATAATATAGGATAATACCTCTGCCATATACACACTAATATTTGTATTGTCCGGGAATCGAATCCACGACCTAGTTTAGTATGAAAATGTCATTTAAAACTAGTGTTCAACACTCGTTTAACTTTTATTATAAAGAATAATCTACAATATACAACAGTATCCTTGTGTCGCGTACAAACTAAATACATAAAAACATAATTCATAAAAAATATTGCTACTTTCACTGCGCTCCGGGTTTCTACTATTCGTCGTTTATTTTCAAAGCTGGCAACACTATGGCTTGCTTGAAATTACATACAAAACTCAACGAATATTTTTAAAATATGGTACTTATTAGCACATGTAAAGATATATAAAACCTATTTATGCATTTCTAAAGCCTGTGGTTTTTAGATAGGCTCGCGTGACGTCACATCATGGTTGGCCTGCCATACAAATCTCATACAAAAATGTACATTTCATTGAAATACTAATCTCATTCGTTTGGGCCTGTCTCTAATAAAGATCGTTTCATCCACGAAGAATCGCCCCACCATTCTCCCGCTAATGTGTGAGTGTTATCGGTACACGCTAAATGCTCCATGAGTGCACACGCACACTACAGTAATGCCTTACGGATTGCTCGGACCACACTCCCCGCACCCCGCGCGACCGAGACCTAACATTGCTGGGGCGCGGCCGAGTGGATGAAACGATTTATAATAATAATTATACATTATAAATACTGTATATGATCTACCTATTATTACAAAGGTACTGACTGCATTCCAAGATAGACAATTTGATACCTTATTTCGTTGCGGTAGGTATTACTGTGCAACAAAAATGTATACTTTGTATTGACTGTTCGTAGTTCGCAATACACGTTATCGATTCTGTCTCGTCGTGTCATGAATGATCAGTGAAAGAGACAAAATGATGTAAAACAATATTGTTTTTATTTTATTATCAAAGGGAAGTTACACGTCACTAGCTAGTAAAAGGAAGACAACAAAATAGGGATGCACAAAAACAATACAAACTACTTATACTATCTATGCGATCTACACACAAAATTCCACCCTGTATAACTCACTGTCTCGCTCACACTTAAATGACTTTGACAAAGTTCAAATGAAAAAGAAACCAGCCCCCCTAGACAAAACGCACTTTTTGATCGAATCGAAAATCGAATCCGTCAAAACTCTATACAAAAAAGGGGCTTTTCGACCACTTTTCGACTGGTTTGCGATTATAATTTGCACTTTGTCTAGACCCACAGAGCGATTTAAAAACGCACAACGCCATCTATTGACAGAATCAGAAAGCTTTATGCAAGTAAAAAAAAGCATTTGGCTATTTGACAGTTGTGAAAATAGCAAGAAAGAGGAAGAAAAACAATTTATTTGAAAATATACAATTAAATGTTTAAGATAAAATTTATAACCTACAATGTTTTTATAAAATATTATTGGTAAAACCATTCGCGATTTCTTATCTGCGATTCACAAAAAAAAATACACAGGCGGCCATCATAGATCAGTGTGACGTCACATTAAAATAGACACGCAATACACAAGAACTATCGCTGTATCATTCTTTAATAGCATATTTTCAAGATTAGTGAAATGAGGGTTTTCGCGATTGAAAAATGCGCCAGATGGCAATACGTAGACGCGAGGTCCAAATGCTGCATGATTGGTTATTTTTGACATGACATTGACAGATATGTCAAAATCCACCAATCATGCAGCATTTGGACCTCCCGTCTACGTATTGCCATCTGGCGGATTTTTCAATCGCGAAAACCCTCATTACGTAGTGATTTTAGCTATATCTAGCTATATTTGTATTTTTATTTTACCGGAGCGTAGTCCCCTCTTTCATATGAGGATGATTTCCTCACGCAAGTGTGCCATCCCCAGATCGCAAACGTGTGTGTGTCGCCACCATCAATCCCTAATTTTTAAGTGACCCCTATGGTAACACATATCAGGAATTTAGTTTTTTTTTATGCATAACAAGGCAGGTATTTGACCACAATGTTAAGTGGGATGCAGTCTAGGATGGTTTTCATAGGGGTCACTTAAAAATTAGGGATTGATGGTGAAAACGAGCGTAAATGACATAGCCCTGTGTGTGAGTTCTTGTGCCAGGTAAGTATATATCAAGGGTGACAAAATCGAACCCTGGACACACCCTTACGTTGTCTAATGCCCGTTTTCACTATCAATCCCTAACTTTTAAGTGACCCCTATGAAAACTAAATTCCTGTTGTGTTAATAGGGGGTTAGAAATTAGGGATTGATGTGAAAACGGGCGTAAATGACATAGCTTTGTGTGTGATCTTGCGCTAGGTAAGTATGTGTCTTTCTAAGGGAAGCTATGCCCTTATATGCACAGGTGAGGTCATAAAGGTCATGCCCACAACTAGCTGGCGTGAGTGGCCACGCCCACTTTGATATAAAGTGGCGCTTTCGACAAGGTCACGAACGTAACAGATAGATGATGTAACAGTAAGATGGTTTAGGCTAGTTTCCTAAAATATTTTTTTAGTCCGACAATTTTAATATAAAAAATATTGGACACGTTAATTGTCAATCAAACAAATAATTAAAAAGTCATGGTGCGGTGAAGTTCCGCGCGACGTCACAAAGTGCTGCTCTTTTAAGCACTCATTGACGTCACTGGTCTCTTCTGCATATAAATTTATTTGATTTGATTTCTATTGAACTTTGCCGGGCTTTTTTTTCATTAGTCTAAAAAAGTGAAAAATACGTGTCCAGTATTTTTTGATAAGTTAACTGACGGTCTAATTAAAACTTGCTTTTTTACCCAGGAAACATCCCTATTGTGGGAATGACCAAACTAGAGTCAGCGCTATGAGGGCGTATCAACATTAAGAGGATGTCACACTTACGCTAAGGCAAAGTGGGAGTTCTAGACAGTGTGTTTGGCCACACCCACGTCAGCTGGTCATGATCATGGCCACCCTCACAGCACAGATCATATGCACTCACGCGAGGTACGAGTAAGCGTGGCCACATCCACGCCAGTTGGTCATGGTCATGGCCACCCTCACAGCACATAGATCATAATATGTGCTCACACTCACCCAAAGAAAGACTAAGCGTGGCCACACCCACGCCAACTGGTCATGGTCATGGTCATGGCCACGCTCACAGCACTGGCCATAAGCGACTCCACTCACGCGAGGTACGAGTACGTGTCCAGCGCTCCAGGCGCCCGCTCGAGGTACTGCTTGTCGATGAGCGCCTCGATGCACTTCTTGATCATGCCGACAGATGGCGCGAACGACCCGCGCGCTTGGGAAACCACTTCTTGGATCAGTTCTGTGTGTCGGAGGACCTGGAAATGTAAAATTGATTTGACATTTATAAAACTCATATCCTGATACACCGAGCAGTCTAAAGATGTGTCGTTATGGGTTTTTGAAATAACTAAACGCGACGGTTTTCGAATCACGAATAACGTTTTCAAAACTAGTTTTTTTTAAACGAAGTTATTTCCACAACTCTCAAGCAAGCGTGATAATTATAACGTTAGGTGTTTGGTTAGCTGCAAGGCATTTAGGAACTTATGGCCTTCAAAATAAGACTCAAATTCAATTGAATATCTAACGTACGACGAACATTATACCTATTTCATCCACACTTATGTTAACGTCCTATGGCTTTCTCACTCGCACACGCACTCGTTTCGTTACGATCCTTATTAATTGGACACCATACATTACTCGCTTTACTCCTTTAGGTTACAAAAAATATGTTTAATAATCGTCAATGTACGACTTTGTCATCAAATCTGTCATAACGAAGCGGGAAACACGTTATTTTTTATGTCAACCAAATATCTACCTTATGTTGTTTGCTTAAGAGTGAATTCAGTTTAGCTTTAGAGCGTTGTGGAAACAATCGTGTTGAATAACGAAGAGATTCTAACGTTGTATGACGTTAAGAAAAAAACTAGTTTAGGCGTTTCCGTAGTAACTGTCCTGATTAATTTTAATTATCATTATTTTGACTGGTTCTGTAATGTTGACCGTTTGTTTTATGTATGTATGTGTATTCATGTGGCAGCAAAATAAACGTTATTCTATTCTATTCTATTTTAACAGTGTTTGGATAGTTGGCAGTTGGCACCAATAACTTTTTTAATTTATGCTATCACATTAGGTTATTGACCTGTAAAGATAGTTTAAGTTGGTGAAAATAAATAAATAAATATTAGAAAAAAAACTTTAAAGGATGATTTCTGTAAAACTGTTAAAACTCCTTTATTTGTGCGAGTAGGCTTTCAAAAAGCACTTCGGAGGAGATGAAGCTTATCGCGACTTTCATTAGGTCGTCGGTCCACCGAGTTAATAGCAATGTTGCAAATCTTGAGAATATAAACTGCGGTATATCTTTAAGCGAACCTTCTTACAAGCTCTTAATAATTTCAACATCGCCCAATATCGCCCGCAACATTGCCCAATATCAGAGTAAATACAAATGAGGTGGTCATCTTCATAGAAACGCACCGAGCGCGGTTTATATGTGAGCGCGCCAACACGTATGCGGCGCGCACGCATACACTGAGAAAATGTATTTTTTTTTCTTTATTAGGAAAACATACAGCTTATATTATGATACATGATATGTAGCGGGGATTAGCGGGGAGTTGCGCCAAATTTTGTCAGTGTGTGCGTGCGCGCCGCATACGTATTGTCGCGCGCTCACATACATACAAACCGCGCTCACATTATAGGGTTATCTTCTTTTTATCGTGTCGACAACAAACCTACACAGTGTCAGCCCAAAACGTGCCAGAACTCCGCTACAAGAGTGGCGTTAGGATTATAATGCCCGTTTTCAAATCAATCCCTATTTTTAAGTGACCCCTATGGTACCACATAATAAGAATTTTGTTTATTTGAAGGTCACTTAAAAATTAGGCATTGATGGTGAAAACGGGCATAAGGGTCATATCTACTAGGGTTTTTTCAGGAAGTTTAGATTTTCTTTATGCGCATGTAAGGGGGCATGAAATTTTTTTGGTTCGGGAAGGTTCGGTAAAATAAAAGCTGGGAGACCCCTGCTATATAAGATCACCTCCAAAAGACAGACGATATTTTAATAGGACATCTAATTATATTAGAAAAATTGGACCCTAGCATTAAAAAAAAAATAGGCTAGTTTTTGTTTTTACTTTTCCTAACAAACTAAATGTAATATTTTTATTTTTAAACCCTCTGTCGTTTTCACATTATTTACATAAGCTGCTGGACGTGACGTCCTTGTACAGTCGCGGAATGAAAAGGTTCGTCACCTTAGTGTCGGTTTTCGCTTGCACTAGGTACTGTAAGAGTCAAACCTGCCAACATAACCGTGCAAGAAACAGTGCTGCTAACATTGAAATAAATATGACGTTTGCTAACGAATAAGGTTTTGCATGTTTATTTTTCTATCACATCAGTAGGTACAATGTTCAAAATGTAGTTTTTTTTATTTAATAGATAATGGCAGGTTAAACCAACAAGAAGGTTTTAGTTTATCAATCATAATAATCTTCTTGACAACTTACACTTTGATCTGAATAATTTTGAACTTTACTGACGAACAGTTAAAGATTATTTTCTCTAACTCGAGATTATTCTGTAACATAGTTTCAAAAGGTATTATGTGCTCGCGATTCGTTGAAGGAATCAATTTGAAAACTGACGAACCTTTTCATTCCGTGACTGTACACGGATGCACTGTCTGTCACGATCGATGCCATGCCTCCGGACCGCACTGAGCACTTCGGGTTCACTCGACATAACATCAAAAAATCTCGAAAACTAGCATTCTAAAAATATGGTTGTATTATCTAAAACTAATTAGTTTAAGATGTTTTATTTGTCCCTTAAATATCGTCTGTCTTTTGGAGGTGACCTTCATCAACAGCCCTTTACAGTCCACTGCTGGACTATGAGCCTCCTCCACTATAGTGGAGGGTTTTGCCATAATCCCCACGCTTGGCAGGCGGGTTGGAGATCGCAGTTTAAAAGATTGATGTTTTTCAGAGAGCGCTGCTGCCCGTTCTCTGTTTGATGTGTAGTCCCTAAGTCGCCTCTTACGACACCCGCGGGAAGAGTAGGGGTTGGTGACAAATGTACCATCAAAAACAATACTTGTCAAAAAAACCAAGTCTCGCAACTCAGTTGTTCTTCGCACTAAATAATTTAATTTACACGTGTTTTCATGCGATGGCCAAGTCAATATATTTATGTAAAACGTTAAAGATTTCCTGGCCTGGACTTGGTATTACATGGATCTCACAACTTTTTACCGTAGAACAACTGAGTTGCGAGACTTGGTTTTTTTGACAAGTATTGTTTTTGATGGGATCTCATTTCTTTTTGTATTTTGTAGACAGCAGTTATGTATCTAGAAAACTGGACCGAAATTGAAAAATTTTACTCGACTTGGCGGTTGCACTACCGTGCCCCCAAATATTTTAGTTTTTCCTTGATTCATACACCAAACACTACTTATATTCCAAATTTGAAGCTTCTAGGTCTGCTAGAAGTGCCTTAGAGTTTTGATGATCGGTGAGTCAGTGAGTCGGTCAGTGAGTCAGTCAGTGAGTGACAAAATTAAGTAACTTTGACCCGTTATAATTCTTAAACTACTGGTTCAAATTGAATGAAATTTTAAATATACCGTGTCTTTACAATGCCTGCATAGCTAATGAAAATTCAGCCTTCTAGTTTTATCCACAACGAAGTTACAGGCGGTCGAAAATGGCCTGAATTGCTTCGAGAAAAGGATGGTACGGCTGTGCCGCTTTTTAGCTCGACTTGGTGGGGGCACTACCGTGCCCCCAGATTCTACTCTGCCGTCACCACACGGCTTTTAGACTAATAAAAGAATGAAACCTACCTTCCTCTGCTTCATGATGCGCACGAGGGCAGCTTGTAGATACATCTTGCGGTCGTCGTCGCAGTGCGCCGCTTCCGTCGCTTCGGCCGCGCCAGTCGCCGCCGGCAGACCGCCTGGGAGGATTGAGCTTTATTGTATTGTGTTAAGGTTTATAATTGGCTGCAGAGTGTGGTCAACGGGATTGTCTTGTCTTAAGGCCTATTCAGACCTAAGCGGTATTCGCTACCGTCTGCGGCAGAGAAAACCCAGTGGGTATGCGGTAATAATACTGTTCAGACCTAAGCGGTATTAGGTACAGCGGCAGCGAATATCGCTCAGGTTTGAATAGGCCTTAAAGGTGTAAAGTAATTGTTTTGAATTGGGCTTAATTGGATATTTTATGATAGGGAAATAAACGATTTTATTTTAAGTTCGTTACATAAAATGAACTTCGAACAAGATAGCGCCTTCTATGAGTGCAAATTGAAACTAACTTTCAACATAATGATTAGGCAAGTTAGCTGCTGTAAATCTGACTAGTTAATTTAGCACCATCTTTGAGTGAAAATTGGAACTAACTTGTAGCACTATGTTTTGTTAGTTAGGCGCGTTTAGCGCCATCTATGAGAGAACTTTAGAACTTACTGTAGCACATAAAATAAGTGAAAATTGAAACTTACCTTGATGATTAGGCGCATTGGCAGCTGTAAGTCTGACTTTCGTCCTTTTGCAAGAGAAGTTTAGATTCAAACTGAGGGTAGCAGATTCATCGTCAGCTTCAATATCCCCTGATGACGTCAGCAGGCCAGCATCTAATACTGGCCTCACGTGTCTGGCCCACGCCTCGCTGGCCAGTTGGTCTAACCTAACTAACTGTACTGTATCTGGATGTTAGGCTTTAATTCGTTTTACGCCACCTATGAGCGCAAATTGGAACTAATTTCTAGCGCTGTACCTTGTTGGTGTACTGCAATGAGTCTGTAGCGCCATCTATGAGTGTCCATTGAAACTATCTACTAGCGCTGTGCCTTGCTAGTTGGGCGCGTTCAACGCCATCTATGAGCGAAAATTTGAACTAACTTATAACACCCTACCTTGATGGTTGGCTGCTATGGGCCTGACTGCTCCATTTAGCGCCATCTATGACCGAGAATCGAAACTTTCTTACCTTGATGATTAGGCGCATTGGCAGCTGTCAGCCTGACTTTCGTCCTTTTGCACGAGAAATTCAAATTTAGACTGAGGGTAGCAGATTCATCATCAGCTTCGATATCCCCTGATGACGTCAGCAGGCCAGCATCTAATACAGGCCTCACGTGTCTGGCCCACGCCTCGCCGGCCAGTTGGTCTAACCTAACTAACTGTACTGTATCTGGATGTTAGGCTTTAATTCGTTTTACGCCACCTATGAGCGAAAATTGGAACTAACTTCTAGCGCTGTACCTTGTTAGTGTGCTGCAATGAGTTTGTAGCGCCGTCTATGAGTGTCCATTGAAACTATTTTCTAACACCGTACTTTGCTGGATAGGTGCGTTCAGCGCCATCTATGAGCGCAAACTTAAACTAACTTCTAGCACTCTACTTTGCTGTTTAAGGGCGTTTAGCGCCATCTATGATGGAAAATTTGAACTAACTTCTAACACCTTACCTTGATGATTAGGCGCATTGGCAGCCGTAAGTCTGACTTTCGTCCTTTTGCAAGAGAAGTTTAGATTCAAACTGAGGGTAGCAGATTCATCGTCAGCCTCTATATCCCCTGATGACGTCAGCAGACCAGCGTCCAGTACCGGCCTCACGTGTCTGGCCCACGCCTCGCCTTCTAATTGTAGGGACTCGCGTAGTTCACGAGCGGATAACGTGTCTGCTGTTTCGAAGGAGAGTAATAGCGCGCACTGTGGACAAACATAGCTTTGTTAATGTCGTTGAAAAATGAGTAATTTTTGATATTTTAATATCCTAAATAAATCAATATCCTTGGACATCTTACACTGCGCCGCTAGCCCCAAACTAAGCAAAACTTGTGCTATGAGTACTAGACAACTGATATAAACATACTTAAATACTTTTTTTTTGTAAACACATACATGAAATTATACATAGACTTAATATACACAGAAAACACTTGGACCCGTCACAGAAATTAATATTCAACATTTCAATTTCTGCCCGGCCGGGAATCGAACCCGGGACCTCTCGGCATAGTAGTACGTCCTGAACAAACACACCAAACGGCCGACTGTGGATAAACATAGCCTTGTTAATGTCGTAGAAAAATTAGTGATTTTTGATATTTAGACACGTGTCAAGATTTGTACAAGTTTGTAAAGAATTATGACAGGGCCGCGAGGTATTTTGGATCGGAGCCGCTGGTTTATATGAGACGGAGCCGCTAGTTAATATGAGACGAAGTCGAGTTCAATGTGTAAAATGCTTTATGAGACGGAGCCGCGAGTTATTATGAGACGGAGCAACGTGTTCTCACCTGAGGTGTAGTAGCGCTGACGTGGTACACCCTTTGCGTGTATCGTGTCCTCAGTTCACCAGTACACAGGTGGTGTAGCCAGGCTAGACGGCGGCCGCTGAAGGACGCTCTGTAGAAGGCTTCGAAGAGTCTCGCCGGCTTCTTCAGTGTTAAACTTTCTTATTCAGGGACGGAGCGAGTTATTCGACGGAGCCGCGAGTTATTATACGGAGCCGCAAGTTATTATGAGACGGAGCCGCGAGTTATTATGAGACGGAGCCGCGAGTTATAAGACGTAGCTTCGAGTTATTAGATGGAGCCGCGAGTTATTATGAGACGGAGCCGCGAGTTATTTTGAAACGGAGCCGCGATGTTAGACGGAGCCGCGAGTTATTATGAGACGGAGCCGCGAGTTATTCTGAAACGGAGCCGCGATGTTAGACGGAGCCGCGAGTTATTAAGAGACGGAGCCGCGAGTTATTAAACGGAGCCGCGAATTATTAAACGGAACCGCGAGTTATTATGAGACGGAGCCACCAAAATTTGAGACGGAGCCGCATGTCTTTTCTCACCTGTGGCGTAGTAGCGCTGACATGGTACACTCTTTGCGTGTATCGTGTCCTCAGTTCACCAGTGCACAGGTGGTGTAGCCAGGCGAGGCGGCGGCCGCTGAAGGAGGCTCTGTAGAAGGCTTCGAAGAGTCTCGCCGGTTTCTCCAGTTGAGCCGGCGGCGCTAGCGGCGCCATAGCACCGCCTAACGGCCATGCGCCGGCTTGCAGTACCTGGGAACAAGTAAATTAAAATTCATAAAAAGAACTATTTTTATCGACATAACTTTAAAAAAAAAACCGACTTCAAATGCGTGAACACAAATAATACCTATTCAACAAAAAAATAATCGTTCAAATTGGTTCATAATCGGCGGAGATATTGCGTATAAAAAAGTTCATCCCTAATTTTCCACCCTTGGGGGTTGTTTTTTTTATTATTAAAGAAGAACGGTCATCTGTGACCCAGGCCCGACAGAAACGAGACATACCTCAGTTTTTTTGTCATGTCTTAATTAGTTAAATTATATATTTTTTATATTCGAAATCTATGTATAACACCAAATTATTACCCTTTGTTTTTGTTCAGGCGTCATACAAAAACTAATACTAAATGCCTATTTATCACCAAAATTGGTAAATGTATGATAGCTGCTATGGAATGTATCAATCAAGGTGACCTGGAGATACAGCCGGATTATACAGTGTGGAAACGAGAAGTTACAAAATCCAAAAATTCAATGTTACCAGTTTCCATAATCTGTAACCTATTTATTGGTACCATTTGAAAGAGCTCGTGAAGCACTTTCAGAATCAGTAACTTGTTTTTCGATATCTTGTATAGTTTAGAAATAATCGAGTGAGATCACTTATCGTTCCATATGTATAACCACCCTGTATAATCCGGCTGTATCTCCAGGTCACCTAGATACATTCCATAGCAGCTGTAATAGACATTTAGGTACATAACATTTACCAATTTGTATTAGTTTTTGTATAACGCCTGAACAAAAACAAAGGGTAATATTTTGGTGTTATACATAGATTTCGAATATAAAAAATATATAATTTAACTAATTAAGACGTAACAAAAAAACTGAGGTATGTCTCGTTTCTGTCGGGTCTGGGTTTTTTTTGTATGGGGCGTGACCGTTCTTCTTTAAATGGGACCACCCTTGAGGTATTACCTATACGCCGAAAAAAGATTTTTTCAAATCGGTTCATAATTGGCGGAGTTATCGCGTAACAAACATAGAAAAAAAAAAACGCGTCGAATTGAGAACCTCCTCCTTTTTTTGAAGTCGGTTGAAAAAAGAGGTACTACACTAATGCAGCAGCATTAATCAACTGCTGAAAGAAAAGGAAACAGCGCTATCTATCGACCGCTATCAGAACTAACTTGAACAGCTACATCTGTTAGTTGAGATCTGAACTAGAAGGTACAATCGGCTGTAAGAACCCTATTTGTTTAAAGAAGTAGTACTAAACTAATGGCCAGTTTTCTGTCTATCAGAAACTGCTAGAAATTGGTTGAAACTTAATGATAGCGCCATCTATTGGCCACTTTTGGAACTATGAAACAGCGCCATCTGTTGGTTGTTGTAGGAACTAAATAAGACAACGCCATCTATCAACCGCATTCTAAACTAAATAAAACTGCGCCATCTATTGGCCGTCTTCGGAACTAGCTGCTAAAAGAATCTCACCTGTATGAAGAAACCGGTGTTTGTAGAAAGGTTGTGGCAGAGACCACACACACACACTTTTGGAACTATGAGACAGCGCCATCTGTTGGTCTTGGTCGCTACATTCAGAACTAAATAAGATAGCGCCATCTATTGGCAGCTTTTGGAACTATGAGAGAGCGCTCCATGTGTTGGTTGCTGTAAGAACTAAATGATACAACGCCATCTATCAGCTGTTTTCTAAACTAAATGAGACAGCGCGATCTGTAGGCCGTTTATGGAACTAAATAAGATCACGCCATCTGCTGCAGTCAGAATTAAGTCTTTATGGGGAGTTAGCGCCATCTATTAGCCACTTTCAGAACTAGCTGTTATAAGAATTTGACCTGTATGAAGAAGCCGGTGCTCGTGGATAGATACAGCTTGTTGGTGAACTCGGTATCACTAGTTAGCGTCATCTATTGGTAGAGCTCGAAACTGAATGTCATAAACAAAGTGCCATCTATTGGCCGCCTTCAGAACTAGCTGCGTAATAAGCTCACCTGTATGTAGAAAGAAAGAAGCCGGTGCTAGTCGATATATGCAGCTTGTTGGTGAACTTTGTATCACTGGTTAGCGCCATCTAATAGCATAACTTGATACTAAACGAAACAACGCCATCTATTGGCAGCTTTTGAAACTAAGTGGATCAGCGACATCTATTGACCACTTTTGGAACTATGAAATAGCGCCATCTGTCGGCCACTTTCAGAACTTACTTGTATGAAGAAGCCGGTGTTAGTAGATAAGTTGTGGTCTCTCAGATGCTGCTGGAACTTGGCATTCAAGTCTGCTGAGACCGCGACGTCGGTGAACATGCGGTGCAGCTTGTTTGTAAACTATATCACTAGTTAGCGCCATCTATTGACAAAGTTTGAAACTAAACGACACAGCGCCATCTATTGGTCACCTTCAGAACTAGCTGCGTAAGAAACTCACCTGTATGTAGAAAGAAAGAAGCCGGTGCTAGTGGACAGATGCAGCTTGTTGGTGAACTTTGTATCACTGGTTAGCGCCATCTAATGGCATAGCTCGAAACTAAACGAAACAACGCCATCTATTGGCCGCTTTTGAAACTAAGTGGATCAGCGCCATCTATTGACCACTTTTGGAACTATGAAATAGCGCCATCTGTCGGTCACTTTCAGAACTAACCTGTATGAAGAAGCCGGTGTTTGTAGAAAGGTTGTGGTCTCTAAGATGCTGCTGGAACTTGGCATTCAAGTCTGCTGAAACCGCGACGTCGGTGAACATGCGGTGAAGCTTGTTTGTGAACTCGTAACCGCACGCAGCCTTCAGACGGTTGATCATGGCCTCCTCCTGTGAAGGGTTACCAGTTTGGTAAATATTGCTCCCTTTAAACCTTATTGAATGAGGTTTTTCGCGAATGAAAAATCCGCCAGATGGCAATACGTATACGCGAGGTCCAAATGCTGCATGATTGGTTATTTTTGACATGACATTGACAGATATGTCAAAATCCACCAATCACGCAGCAGTCAGACCCCACATTCACGTCCCGCCATCTAGCGGATCTTTCATTCACGAAAACCCTCATTGTGATAAGGTCGGAAACTAATGGGCATTTTAGTGCAGGCTCATAAAAATGAGCAAAGATGTAGTATTACAAAATAGCCATCAAATTATTTCAAGAAGTCCGCGCGATGACACATTTACCTCTTTACTTAAACTGGAGGAAAATATCATTATGTTGATGACAGTCACCATTTCAGCCACAGGACGTCCACTGCTGAACATAGGCCTCCTCCAATGATTTCCATGTTGGCCAGTTGGTAGCGGCCTGCATCCAGCGTCTTTTTACTACTTTTATGACTCACTCATCACGAAATCTCAGAAACTACAAGTGCTAGGAGTCTAAAATTTTGCATGGGGGTTCCTTTTAGAACGTAGGTGCTCACTAAGACGGGATTTTACATAATTAACTTTTTTTTAAAATAAAACCGACTTCAAATGCGTGAACACATTATAAAAAAAAATAAAACCGACTCCAAAAAACCTACATTAAAAAGTAGAAAAATAATTACTAATAACCTACTTATTTATTAGGACGAATTAATATTTATGTAGGTATGGTATTGATACTTTTGGAGTCGGTGCAGGCAAACTTTACATGTTTCATAATCTTGGCACCGACTCCAGAAGTATCAATCATGGTATACCTACATAAATATTAATTCGTCCTAATAAATAAGTAGGTTATTAGTAATTATTTTTCTACTTTTTAATGTAGGTTTTTTGGAGTCGGTTTTATTTTTTTTTATAAAATTTTACTTATTTCTTGCTTTTTAGTTAACTAATTATTACCTTGATGTTACCACTGAAGGTAGGCAGTACATTGAGACCATACTCTTCATGTCTAGTGTAAAATAATATTCCCTACAAAATACAGGTTACCATATAGGAAACCTAAAAAGACCTTAAACCGTCAGCCCACCTTAAAAACATGAAAGAATACAACTGTTGGTCTATTTGTACTTATAATATTTAAAGAATTATCCTCCAACTCCTAAGCATTAAGGAGTTTTACCTTCTATCATCAGCTCATCAATATGAGATGATGATTTCCAGGAGCAAATATATGAATAACTTAAGAAAAAGTTTGAAAAACGATATACGTGCCTATAAAATTTGAGGGTTGCTCTCGATTTCCCTAGGATCCCATCATCAGATCCTGACTTGGTGACAATGGGACCACCTCAGAAGTGTACCCTATCAAACAAAAAAAGAATTTTGAAAATCGGTTCATAATTGGCGGAGTTATCGCGTAACAAACATAGAAAAAAAAAAAAAAAAAAACATACGGGTCGAATTGAGAACCTCCTCCTTTTTTTGAAGTCGGTTGAAAAAAAAACTAAATATTAAAAATATTGCGTATAAAAAAGTTCATCCCCAATTTTCCACCCTTGGGGGTGAAATATTTTCTTCAAATTCGCATGAAACCACCCTTTTGATAATACCTATTCAACAAAAAAATAATCGTCCAAATTGGTTTATAATCGGCGGAGATATTGCGTATAAAAAAGTTCATCCCCAATTTTCCACCCTTGGGGGTTGTTTTTTTTATTATTAAATTTAAATGGGACCACCCTTGAGGTATTACCTATACGCCGAAAAAAGATTTGTTCAAATCGGTTCATAATTGGCGGAGTTATCGCGTAACAAACATAGGGAAAAAAAAACATACGGGTTGAATTGAGAACCTCCTCCTTTTTTTGAAGTCGGTTGAAAATTCAACCCCTAAGGGGGTAAAACGGGATCCACGCGTATCAATAGTTTTTTACCTGTTCCATAGACGCCGACAGCTGGTGTATGAGCCTTCTGGCCAGAGCTCGCGCGTAGTATTTTTGGAAGACATCCTGAAAATTGATAACATATTATGTTAGAAATTTTATATTTCGTTACAAATTGTTTAGTTTTCCCAATTTGATGGTTTTCAGCTTTTTTTAATGGTTTCTAAATAAGAATCTCTGAATTTTAATGAATAATTAAAAAATCAATTACATTTTTGGATTCCTTTAAATAGGTTAGTTTAGTATGGATATTACCGAAGTGTGGATAGCAAGAAAGTTTGTTCAGTGTGGAAGTATGAATAAAAATGGATAGGGATTCATATAATAATTAAAATAAATAAATAAATAAATAAATTATAGCTTCATGAAAACCCATAAAAATTAGGATAGCTTTAAAGTATGGATAGTTCAGTTAGTATGAAGTAGATATTACGGAACTATGGATACATTGTCTTCAGAGGGCCTAGTGTGAGTTCACATCAAACGCGCTCACAAATAATTAACTTTTTAAAAAAATAAAACCGACTTCAAATGCGTGAACACAAAAAAAAAAACTAAAAATTAAAAATATTGCGTATAAAAAAGTTCAACTCCAATTTTCCACCCTTGGGGGTGAAATATTTTCTTCAAATTCGCATGAAACCACCCTTTTGATAATACCTATTCAACAAAAAAATAATCGTTCAAATTGATTTATAATCGGCGGAGATATTGCGTATAAAAAAGTTCATCCCCAATTTTCCACCCTTGGGGGTTGTTTTTTTTATTATTAAATTTAAATGGGACCACCCTTGAGGTATTACCTATACGCCGAAAAAAGATTTGTTCAAATCGGTTCATAATTGGCGGAGTTATCGCGTAACAAACATAGGGAAAAAAAAACATACGGGTTGAATTGAGAACCTCCTCCTTTTTTTGAAGTCGGTTGAAAATTCAACCCCTAAGGGGGTAAAACGGGATCCACGCGTATCAATAGTTTTTTACCTGTTCCATAGACGCCGACAGCTGGTGTATGAGCCTTCTGGCCAGAGCTCGCGCGTAGTATTTTTGGAAGACATCCTGAAAATTGATAACATATTATGTTAGAAATTTTATATTTCGTTACAAATTGTTTAGTTTTCCCAATTTGATGGTTTTCAGCTTTTTTTAATGGTTTCTAAATAAGAATCTCTGAATTTTAATGAATAATTAAAAAATCAATTACATTTTTGGATTCCTTTAAATAGGTTAGTTTAGTATGGATATTACCGAAGTGTGGATAGCAAGAAAGTTTGTTCAGTGTGGAAGTATGAATAAAAATGGATAGGGATTCATATAATAATTAAAATAAATAAATAAATAAATAAATTATAGCTTCATGAAAACCCATAAAAATTAGGATAGCTTTAAAGTATGGATAGTTCAGTTAGTATGAAGTAGATATTACGGAACTATGGATACATTGTCTTCAGAGGGCCTAGTGTGAGTTCACATCAAACGCGCTCACAAATAATTAACTTTTTAAAAAAATAAAACCGACTTCAAATGCGTGAACACAAAAAAAAAAACTAAAAATTAAAAATATTGCGTATAAAAAAGTTCAACTCCAATTTTCCACCCTTGGGGGTGAAATATTTTCTTCAAATTCGCATGAAACCACCCTTTTGATAATACCTATTCAACAAAAAAATAATCGTTCAAATTGATTTATAATCGGCGGAGATATTGCGTATAAAAAGTTCATCCCCAATTTTCCACCCTTGGGGGTTGTTTTTTCTATTATTAAATTTAAATGGGACCACCCTTGAGGTATTACCTATACGCCAAAAAAAGATTTGTTTAAATCGGTTCATAATTGGCGGAGTTATCGCGTAACAAACATAGAAAAAAAAAAAAACATACGGGTCGAATTGATAACCTCCTCCTTTTTTGAAGTCGGTTGAAAATTACATTAAATGTATGACGTAATGTATGACAAATGTGTGGGGTCCCATTGCGATGGACATCGCTGTGCGACTGGGTGGCACTGTTTAGTTTATTCATTCATTCATTGTATGTTTTATGTCACCTCTGTCTTATTTGCTTTTTTTTTCATTTTACCTCTTTTGTCTTTTGTGATGTCCATGGCAATAAATGTTTCTTTCTTTCTTTCTATTGTACAGCGCCCCTGGCGGAAACGTTCAAGAACTAAAATTTTCATACATTTTTTAACGCACTCACTGGTGAGGATTTTTGATGTAAACTCACATTCGGACCACAGGCTACCACTGACCTTTTTTAATTATGAATAACTTGAAAAAATCGAACTGCCTAAGGCGACTTGAGAGACTTGAAGAGACTCTTAACGCTAAAAATTAAATAACTATACCACTGACCTTATCATCGACGTACTTGAACACCACAATGGCGGCTGCCAGCCGGTCGTCGGCGTCGTCGGCTCCGCGGCGCCGCAGCAGGCAGTCGCAGTACCGCGCCAGCAGCTCGGGAGCGCGCGCCGCTTGCTCCGGGCCCGAGCGAGCGTTCACCACTGCGCTGCACGCCTGGCGAATGCACGCGCGATTAGTCGGAGCGACTTGCGATTAGTCGCATCAACTATCCAACAGTTGTACCAAATTCGGATATGTCGCATCGACTTGCGACTAGTCGCAACGGATAACGATTAGTCGCATCAACTATCCAATAGTCATGCCACATTGCGATTTGTCGCATTGGCTTGCGATTAGTCGCATTCACTTGCGATTAGTCGTACTGCCTTGCGATTAGTCGCATCTACTATGAAATAGTAGCACTAAGAATCATCGTACGGGCTTTCAAATAGTCAGTAGTCGCACCAGATTGCGATTGGTCGCACCGACTTCGACTTGCTATTTCGCATTGACTTGATTAGTCACATCAAATTTTTTATACTAACACTACGTACGAGAGTACGGAAGAGGTTATGTGAGCAGGCCTCCCACTAGGTGGACAGACGATCTGGTGAAAATGCGAGGGGCAGGGCCGGTCTTTGTGGAAATCCTTGGAGGAGGCCTTTGTCCAGCAGTGGACGTCTTTCGGCTGAAGCGAACGAACACTACATAACCGGGCCAGATGGCGACTAGTCATATCGCATTGAATTCAGAAAAGTGGGAATATAATTCCCAAGTACCTTTAATCTTATTCTACTGTCTTAGGGACCCAAACAATGACAAAATGTTACCTTGCTATACAGGATGTCCTAAAAAGTAGTGTCAAGCCGAAGCCCAGAAGGTAACCCAAATCACCGTGACTTGATAGTTTTCGAGTTATGATTTTTTTTTACAACGTACAAGATTTTAGTTTACATCCGTTTTATGGATGTAAATACTTCTGAATCAGCTAGGCCTAGTATTCATCTAATAATAATTAAAAAATCAGGCATGTAACTTGACTATTCGCACCACAGTGACCAAAAAAGTGCCTAAGCACAGAAATATAAAACAATCATAACTCGAAAACTATCAAAAATCGCGGAAAATCGGGGTGATTTAGCCCTAGTGATGCTCAATCTCTGAGCTTCGGCTTGACACTACTTTTTGGGACGCCCTGTATAATCGTTTAAGCCTTACCTTATCTAAAGCACCGACGAAGGCTTGTGCTCCACCGAACACGTCTGCGAATAGCGAGCTGTATCTGCCGTGTAGCTCCAGCATCGCGTTCACGAAGTGCGTGTGTGCCTGAAATAAAACATTATTATGAACAGGCGAACACATCTTTAGTCTTTACTACAACTGAAGTCTTGCTGACGTTTGACACTATGGTTGAGGATTCCGGGATTCCTTTCCATCAGGTGGGATGCAGACCAAAAACTTTCACGTTGTGGATAAAAAGTGCATACAGCAATCAACGTTATCTCCTGCGCATAAGATCTCACTTCGTCCTGATTGTGGCTTGTTCAACAACTCGTAGTCATCTACTTTTTCTGACGTCACGATAGCGACTATTGCAAGCGACTATGAACCTTGAAATCTTCTAAAGTTCATGCAACAGTCAACCCTATCTCCTGCGTAATAAGGTCTCACCTCGTCCTTATTATGGCTTGTTCTACAACTCATGACTCATGACTCTTTACACTACTGTCAATGTCATGTTAGCGATCATCACAAATCACAAGCGACTATCGCCCGTATTCACAAATGATACTTGCTTAGGTGAAGCAGCAAATCGAATGCACAGCGTTGAATAAAGCTCTGTGATTGGTGTGTCACCCTGTGTGTCCCTGTCCTGAAGTGCATGCAAGAATCAACCCTATCTCCTGCATAATAAGTAGGCCTAAGATGCGCGCATCGACAATGACATGATATGATAAGACAATTTTCGATCACGTAGATAATTTTATCATTTTCCCTAACATGGAACCATCGATAGAAAAGTCTATCGACCGCTATCGCGTGATAACCGAATTGTTGCCATATTAAGAAAAAATTGCGTTATTATGTTGGCCAACCTTGAAATATTTTAGCTCATTCGTTCAATCTCGTTCATTTCTGCTACTAATTCGGCTAAAAACACATATCTTAAAGCAGTGAGAACGTCATTAAAAAAAAGTTATGTCAATTTTGTTGACATTACATGACTGCTTGATTGTATTTGTGTGTTTTTAAAATTGTATTTTTATGTTTCCAGTCTTATTTTTAATATTTCTAAAGTACGGAAAATATCAAACGAAGAGATAACCAAGTTAATGAAAAACAATGAAGAATTCCTAATCATACCGACAGTATTAAAGAATGAAGTCTTCAAAATTAACAGAATAACCGAACTCCACTACCTACCCCATAATGCGAGGTTTACAGTAATTATTCAACTTACATGAAGCAGTCAGAAAGTTTATTGAGATTTGAGAAATAAAGTTACACTCATAAGTAGCAAAGTAAGTACCTAAAGTCTAAAATATTAGCTATACTCCGCAGATCTTGATTTTCATAAGTAACAGCACCGGAGAAAAGGAAAAATATCTTTATTCCTACAAATAAGCTTTCACCTTCTTTCCTATATTTATTTCACATAGTTCTTTCACCGTGTAATAATACTGTGATCAATATTTTGTATGTAAACTTAAAATACAAATAGGATTAAGTAAATGTTTCTATTTATGAACTGTTTATGTAATTGTAATATTTATAATTGTGTTTAAATAATATTCTTTCTTTTTTCAGACAGTGGATGAAGAAGTGTGGGATTATGAGTGATTATTTCATTCTAAAGCAGACATAATCAAGTCTTGCTCACTATCATGAAAATTTACAATAACAATCAGCAAGAAAAACTTCAAGGGTACTGGCTAGGCTAACCAATTCATGGAATTCTGTTTGTATTTGAAATTATAAATAGCTATTGTAAAACAAAAGTTTTCCAAATAAAGATTTTGTAAATAATGGTTGAATTATTTTGAAATTACACTGCAATAATGAATTTATTGCCTGCGTCCAGCGCCTTTCTGCTACCATTATGATGTCGTCGGTCCACCTTGTGGGTGGACGTCCCACGCTGCGTATTCCGGTACCCGGCCTCCACCCCAGAACCTTGCTGCCCCATCGGGCAACATGGAAAGCATTGGGGGAGGCCTAAGTTCAGCAGTGGACGTCCTATGGCTGAGATGATGATGAATTTATTATAATGGAATAAATTGTACAAGATTATCATCCTGTCACATTAAAGCCCTTAAAAAAGACCACATGGAGGAATTAGATTGATAGTAATGTGGAATGTATGTATGGTATCACCATCAAGTTATAAAATTAGTAAAATTCATTTATTCTCATTGTTATTATAGCAAGTTTGATTACACATCCCACCCAATGCTAATTTCTGACAATGACCTTGCCACTGTTTGATGTAGACACAAGAAGCTCGGTCACCACATTCCGCCCCATTTTCAATAATTTTACAAGATTATGTACAGATGACAGTAGGTACTTAAATCAAGCTAAACACTGTGGGGTATCTCACGACATTTGCAACTTAATATGTATTGTCTGATGTACTGTTGACTGCCTACCTAAGTAGGTAAGTAATGGTTATTTTACAAGGTAGGTAATGTAATAATTAATATGTGGGTGGGACTGTGGGAGCACTAAGATTTTGCAGCTAGCGATTATAAACTGTCGCAAGATTCGCCTCACACTGATAAACTCTTGAACTAGAACTCAATCTCCACCTAGAAGTAAAAGTATCACAAAGGTGCTAGATTCCTTTCTTTGATTTTACTAGCCTCAAATTAGTCGTAAAATGTCATTTACCATTATAAATGATAAATAAATAGAGTTAAAGTAGCTTGCAAAAAAGTTAATCTCCTATCGTCTTGCTATCGTGGGCAAGGATCGAGGACGATAAAAACACCACATCCTATCCTATCGTGATGTCAAAATATGATATAGTTAGCGCTTCATGTTAGGGCTTGCCAGGTTTATCACAAAAAAAAAAACAAATCTATCACTATCACATTTTGACAGATGACATGATAATTTTCGGGGTGCCATGTTAGCGCCGGTAGATAAAACGATATAGTGACGTCAAAATCGATATAACGCCGCGATAGCAGTTTATCACGGCGCGCATCTTAGCCCTGAAGGTCTCACCTCGTCCTTGTTATGGCTGGCTTCTAACAGCGCGTGTCCGTCTCTGTACACTTCTGCTAACGTCAAGACTATTGCATTTGATTATGAACCTTATTTTCCTCTTGTGGACAAGCAATTATAAACTCTATCCCCTTAGACATAAGGTCTCACCTCATCCTTATTATGACTGGCCTCCAACAGCGCGTGTCCATCGCGCGTGACTTGAGCCAGCGCCGCGTCCACGAGCGGTCTTAACGTGCGACATGACGGCTTGAATGCAAGCGACTATGAGCCCTATCTCCTTAGACATAAGGTTTCACCTCGTCCTTATTATGACTGGCTTCCAACAGCGCGTGTCCATCCCTGTACACTTCTGCTAACGTCAAGACTATTGCATTTGATTATGAACCTTATTTTCCTCCTATGGATAAGCAATTATACACTCTATCCTCTTAGACATAAGGGGTCATCCATAAAGTACGTCACACGTAAAGAGGGGGGGAGGGGGTTGACAAAGTGTGACATGGTGTGACAAGGGGTGGGAGGGGTCCTAAGTTTTGTGACATCACATTTCAATTGTTTCAAATATTTGATATAATGTTGATTTCATTAAAAAAAAAGTACTTAATTTAAATTAAAATAAAACTAATTTCGGAACTGCTGTTAATTTAATAATTTTTCGATGTGAAATTGCAAAACATGTGACGTCACACTAGGGAGGGGGGGGGTCTCAGAAATGTGACCACCTGTGACAAGGACGGAGGGGGGGTAAAAAAATCATGAAATTCGTGTGACGTACTTTATGGATGGCCCCTAAGGTCTCACCTCATCCTTGTTATGACTGGCCTCTAGTAACGCGTGTCTATCGCGCGTGACGTTGGCGCCAAGCGATATGACGGCTTGAATGCAAGCGATTATGAGCTTTATACCGTTGATATAAGGTCTCACCTCATCCTTATTGTGACTGGTTAACAGCTGACGGTCGTCTAAAGCCTGGTCCGTGAGCACGTAGAATCCCGTCCAATGACCCCAAGCTACCCATCCTTACAACATAGCAACATAATTACGTGCGAGCGACAAGGATGGGCAGCTTGGGGTCATTGGACGGGATTCTACGTGCTCACGGACCAGGCTTTACACTTTTGCTAACCTTGAAATTTTCTGAAACGCATGCAACAATCAACCCTATCTCCTACGTAATAAGGTCTTACCTCATCTTTATTATGATTGGCTTCTAACAGCGCGTGTCCATCACGAGTGACTTGAGCCAGCGCCGCGTCCACAAGCGGTCTTAATTACTCTGAATGCAAGCGAATATGAGCCCTATCTCCTGCGTAATAAGGTCTGACCTCATCCTTATTGTGGCTTGTTCTATAGCTCTTCGTTTCTACACTTTTGCTGATGTCACGATAGCAACCATCTTGAAATCTCCTAAAGTTCATGCAAGAATCAACCCTATCTCCTGCGTAATAAGGTCTCACCTCGTCTTTATTGTGGCTAGAGCGTCCTCAACCGTGCACAAGATACAATGACCCTTAAGTCTTCAAAGTTCATGAAGCAATCAACGTTATTTCTTGCACGTAAGGTCCCAACTCTTCATCAACACTTTTCTGTGGCGGCTCTAAAGCGACCATTGCAAGCGACTATGAACCTTTTTCTCCTATGGACAAGCAATTTTAAACTCGATCCTCTAAGATATAAGGTCTCACCTCGTTCTGATTGTGTCTTGTACAACAAATCGTAGTCGTCTACACTTTTGTTGAAGTCACGATACCAACCATCGCCATTTAAGCGACTATGAACCTTGAAATTTCCTAAAGTTCATGCAAGAATCAACCCTATACCATTGACATAAGGTCTCACCTCATCTTTATTATGACTGGCTTCCAGTAACGCGTGTCCGTCGCGCGTGACTTGAGCCAGCGCCGCGTCCACGAGCGGCCTTAACGCGTTGGCGCCGAGCGGACGGATGAGTGCGTACATACGCTTGAGGTCGAGGCATCTCTGCAAGAAGAATATAACGTTCAGATTCTATTCGGAATTATTGTTGTTATGGGGTTTAATTAATAAAGCGCCATGATTATCTTCATCTTGATTGTTTATTGCAATCTTACACATGCACAATATAATTATTACAACGGAGCACATCAAAACAAAACTTTTCAGTCGGCCATTTTTCCACAGAGAGACCATAGACATCGAGCTAGCTTTTTTTAAACTCTAAACCATAAATAAATGTCTAGTATTGTCATTACTCAACAGGAATAAATGTTCAGTAATAAAAAATGTACGAAATCCGGCTCGAAGGACCATAACCGGAGTAAAAAGTAGAGTAAATAAAGTGAGATTTTTTCCCCGGTAGACTGGTGTTTAGTTTTGTCCATTAATGTCTATGTCTGTATACCCCAGTGCGTTATTATCGCGCCAACCTCCTGCTCGAATGACTATAACATTATTATTATCGTAACGTAAGTGCTTAGATCAGGACTTCCCAACCGAGGGGGTAGAGAAATATCAGGGCGGGCGTAATAGGTACGTTTGCATTTCCGAAAAAAAAAAAACTATTTAACGCGTAGGTAAATTACCTGTTCCAAATAGCTATTCAATCGCAAATTCGCAACACGTTATTATTCTTGAAATTTAAAGGGGCGTTTTTCGATTAGCCCGCATCCGCATTATATGCGCATTAGTAGGGCATAAAATATTTATTTTTGGTTCGGGGAGGCTCGGCGAAATAAAGGTTGGGAAACCCTGATTTGGATGCAAGTCGCACGAGCCTAGTGTCCGAGTAAGACAAGCCTAGTGTCCGAGTAAAACAAGCCTTGTGTCCGAGTAAGAAAGAGGCTAGTGTCCGAGTAAGAAAGAGGCTAATGTCCGAGTAAGAGACTAGTGTCCGAGTAAGAAAGAACCTAGTGTTCGAGTGGGAACAAGCCTAGTGTCCGAGTGAGAACAAGCCTAGCGTCCATTAGTGTACTCGTCCATTAGTGTCCTTGTCCGTTAGTGTCGCCAGCCTCGCACTGTATCCAGCCATCCTGTTTGTGGAACACGTAGGGCGTGTGACGTCACCTGTGCGCGTGTGGGCGCGTCCTGGCAGGCAAGTGCGCGGCGACCGCACAGCGCTCGTAGCAGCCGCGCACTGCGTCGGCTGACGACGAGTGTGGCTCGGAGCGATCCGGTCAGTGTCCGAGTGATAACGAGGCAAGTGTCCGAGTAAGAAAGAGACTAGTGTCCGAGTAAGGAAGAGACTAGTGTCCGAGTAAGAACCTAGTGTCCGAGCAAGAAAGATACTAGTGTCCGAGCAAGAAAGATACTAGTGTCCGAGTAAGAGAGGCTAGTGTCCGAGTAAGAAAGAGGCTAGTGTCCGAGTAAGAAAGAGCCTAGTGTCCGAGTGAGAACAAGCGTAGTGTCCGAGTAAGAGCCTAGTTTCCGAATGAGAGAGCCTAGTGTCCGAGTAAGAAAGAGGCTAGTGTCCGAGTAAGAGCCTAGTGTCCGAGTAAGACAAGCCTAGTGTCCGAGTAAGAACAAGTCTGATGTCCGAGTAAGAAAGAGCCTAGTGTCCGAGTAAGGAAGAGACTAGTGTCCGAGTAAGAGCCTAGTGTCCGAGTAAGACAAGTCTAGTGCCCGCGGTCGGTCACAAGTCTAGTGGCCGCGGTCACAAGCCTAGTGTCTGAGTAAAAACAAGCCTAGCGTCCATTAGTGTCCTTGTCCGTTAGTGTATCCGGTCATCCTGTTTGTGTAAGACATAGGGCCTCTTCGGCCCGCGTGACGTCACCTGTGCGCGTGTGGGCGCGTCCTGGCAGGCCTCCCTCAGCAGCCGTTCGGTGTGAGCATGTAAAGCCGGTAAGTGCGCGGCGACCGCACAGCGCTCGTAGCAGCCGCGCACTGCTTCGGCCGACGACGAGTGCAGGAAGCGGCTGCCTAACTCCACTTCGCGCTCCAGACCTGCAAGAGATGGTAATCATTAGGGGACATCAAAACCAAAAAAATCTAATCAAAAATCCAAAATATTTCATTCAATTTAGACCACTGGTGGCACTTATGAACGTCAAAATATCCCAACTAATCCCAACTAATATTATAAATGCGAAAGTAACTCTGTCTGTCTGTCTGTCTGTCTGTCTGTCTGTCTGTCTGTCTGTCTGTCTGTCTGTTACGCTTTCCCGCTTAAACCTCGCAACCGATTTTGATGAAATTTGGCATAGAGATAGTTTGAGTCCCGGGAAAGAACATAGGATAGTTTTTATCCCGGTTTTTGAAACAGGGACGCGCGCGATAAAGTTTTTCTGTGACAGACAAAATTCCACGCGGGCGAAGCCGCGGGCGGAAAGCTAGTAGTAAATAAAAAAAAGGTAGCCCTTATGGGGCACTTTACATGTCTCCTTATCTTTTGGGCCCTACCAGCGCTTCGAGACAAACATATGGCAAGTGCTGAGAAGAAACGCCAGAACAAACTCAGTCACTACTAGTTGCCAGTAATTATCTACATCCATTTATCACGTGAGACGGTTAAAGGGGGGAGGGGATCGAATAAAATCACACAAAATGTCATCAAAAGGGGAGGATTGAAAATTGCCAAAATTGTCTCACGTAAATGGATGTCCCCTTAGCGATTATGACGACGAAACGTACATCGGAAACAGCCTTCTTTATCTAATCAATTCGTGTGCAAATTAGCTTCAAGGCCTGTCCAATAAAGTTTAGGTACTTATGTTATGATCAGTGTCCAATCCTATCCAGTGTCTAATGGAGAAGTTTCGTGATGTTGAAAAATTATATTTCACTGAATGGGATGAAAATATAGACAACTAAAAATACGGTGAAGTTTTTTTAAATCTGTCAAGAAATGGCTCAAATTCAAATAATTTATTTGTGAAACACAGGTAAGGAGTATGATGTACAAACAAAAGATGAACCGTGCGTGATTATCAGCCTTGTCACTTGTATTGCCTTGGATGAGAAATTAATTATTTAAATTACCTACATATTTTCACGTGGAACTCAAACAGGCGAAACCGTGACTCGTTCTAGTTTCAACCACAATGCTTACCACCCCTGGCGCGTTGTCGAGAAACTTTATGTCAGTCTTCTTCTTTTTGCATATGGCCAGGTCTGGGATATGTCAAAAAAAGGTAACAAAATTTTACTAAAAATTTCACAGTTAAAAGTCATAAACATGTGTTCACAAACGTCAGTTTCTTAAGTGCTATGCGAAGTCGAACGCACAGCGTTGAAGAGAGCTCTGTGATGATGTGAGAGTTTGTGTGTTCTTCGCCACTCAAGTATTGTCTATGAATGAATCGGTATTTGTATTTTGTGCGTCTACGGCCTACGCGCACTGTGTGTTAACCGCGTGTCCATTGGTGGCAGCAACGCGTGCAAGCTGAGAGTCTAATAGTGTCCGCTAGCGTCCGCTCCCGTCTAGCAGTGTCCGCTTACCTTTTAACACGCGCTGCATGTAGTGCGAGATGTCGTGTAGTGTCCAGTCCCGTCCAGTAGTGTCCGCTCACCTTCAAACATACGCTGCATATAGTGCGAGATGTCGTGGTCGTGTAGTAACTTGGCGGCGGCGCGCGCGAGCTTGGTCCAGTAGTGTCCGGTCCCGTCCAGTAGCGTCCGCTCACCTTCAAACATACGCTGCATGTAGTATGAGGTATCGTGGTCGTGTAGTAGCTCAACGGCGGGGCGCGTGAGCTCGGTCCAGTAGTGTCCGCTCCCGTCCAGTAGTGTCCGCTCACCTTCAAGCACGCGCTGCATGTAGTTCGAGATGTCGTGGTCGTGTAGTAACTCGGCGGCGGCGCGCGCGAGCTCGGTCCAGTAGTGTCCGCTCCCGTCCGGTAGTGTCCGCTCACCTTCAAGCACGCGCTGCATGTAGTGCGAGATGTCGTGGTCGTGTAGTAGCTCGGCGGCGGCGCGCGCGAACTCGGTCCAGTAGTGTCCGGTCCCGTCCGGTAGTGTCCGCTCACCTTCAAGCACGCGCTGCATGTAGTGCGAGATGTCGTGGTCGTGTAGTAGCTCGGCGGCGGCGCGCGCGTGCTGTGCGCCCGCGGCGGCCAAGTACGGCTCTAGTACTAGAGCTTGGTAAAGGGCTAGAGGTGCACGCAGGCGGAAGGATTGCACCTGGAAAGATACAGAAATATAAGTGAGAAAACTCATTAAAAACTCATTTATTTCTGTAAATAGGCTTAAAAAAGCACTTTTACACGTCCCAGTATTAACCCTACCACTGCTTCAGGACAATAAATGGGCCAGTGCTGAGAAGCAGCGCAAGAAACTCAGTCACTATTGTCAGCCTCTTTTTCAAAGGTCAAAATGTCGAAAAACATCAAAATGCAGGCGGGTAAATAGAGCTTGGGAGAAGGTTTAAAAGTTCAGGCAAATCAATACAATGGCGTGTTCGACGTCATGCAGCAACGTCCGACGAAAAAAACTGACTCGCCGAAGCCAGACTTGTTCCCCTACTCCTCACTAAGCCAGAAGCTAGGTATGACTTGCCCCCCAAGTTAAACGCTAGGTATGACTTGCCCTCCTTAGACCAGAAGTTAGGTATGACTAGCCTGTGTATGACTAGCATCCTCCTAGGCCAGCGGTTCCCAAACTTATTTTCACTTTGAGAATAAATTCTTTTTAGCGCCCCCATTTTGTAGTCGAGTGTCGAGTGCTCAGTTGGTATCTAAGAGTCCTTCTAGTAAATGACGCCAACCAAGCCGCTACACAACGTCCCGATTTTTTTTCTGGGTCTCTTACCGCCCCCCTTTAAGCCTGCAGCGCCCACAAGGGGGCGTTATCGCCCACTTTGGGAAAGACTGTCCTAGGCCATAATCTGAGTATGGCTTATCCCCCCCCACCTGGTCAGAAGATATGCAAAACATCCTGTTTTTTTGTCCGTCTGTTCTTGTCGCTCTCAAATTCGGATTTAACGCCATCTATGAGTGAAAATCAAAACTAAAATTACACTTTTTGGTGCCAAATAGCAAATACTTACGTGTACGGTAGACAGTATCGCCTGCCTTAATACGTCAGCATGTCAGATATGCAAAACATCTTGGTTTTGTGTCCGTCTCAAGTTCGGATAATACGCCATCTATAAGTGAAAATTGGAACTAAAATTACGCTTTTTGGTGCCAAATAACAAATACTCACGTGTACGGTAGACAATATTGCCTGCCTTAGCACGTCAGCGTGTCAGATATGCAAAACATCTTGGTTTTGTGTCCGTCTTAAGTTCGTATAACACGCCATCTATGAGTGAAAATTGGAACTAAAATTACGCTTTTTGGTGCCAAATAGCAAATACTTACGTGTACGGTGGACAGTATCGCCTGCCTTAGCACGTCAGCGTGTCAGATATGCAAAACATCTTGGTTTTGTGTCCGTCTCAAATTCGGATAACACGCCATCTATGAGTGAAATCTGGAACTAACTTTAACCAGGCACGGCAGTGCTTTGAACAGTAACTACTCACATGTACGGTAGACAGTATCGCCTGTCGTAATACGTCAGCGTGTCGCGGGTCGGGCGTGCGTTCACGCGCGTCATTGAGTGCCGACACGATGCGTGACGTCAGCGCGCCGCGTAGAGGCTGGACCAGCACGCGCTCCCACGTCACTAGGCCTAGCTCGCCCACCAAATACGTGAACGGTAGCTTACTCGGTTCGAAAGAACTAAGTCAAACGATCTGACCTAACAAACCTGACTTGCTACCCAAGGCGAGACGCTGGGTATGACTGCCCCCCCCCCCAAGCTACAAGCTTGACTTGCTCCTCCCCCCCTAGGCCAAAAGCTATGTATGACGTGCCCCCTCCCTAGGCTAGAAGCTGGGTATGACTTGCCCCCTCCCTAGACTAGAAGCTGGGTATGACCTGTCCCTCTCCCTAAGATTCTCTGAAGCCAGGAAAAAAACATGGGAACAAGTACGGATATAACGCCATCTATGAGTGAAGTCTGGAACCACAGAATAAGTAATAGTACAGGTACAGAAGGATTATACCTTGATTTTTTAGAATCCAGCAGAGATGTAAACAAACACTTTCATACACAATTACACCATAATCACTTACGTGTTCATAATATCATACACATTATTTAACAAGCCCATGAAACCAACTTTATTTTCACGTTTATACAAGTTTGAAATCAATCTTTGAAACAAATTATTTTAGCAAAAGGTAGTGTTTATACTGAGCTCTTTGCTTTTTGCATCGCTGCGGCACACATCACTCTGACGCAGGGAACTATTTGAAACGCTAGTCATCTTTATCTTATGTTGTTTTGTCACTTTTGTTATGTTGCAACTGTTGAAATTATTAATAACCTGTGTAACAAAATACCAGTGGTGTCACCTAGTGTGTTTCTTGACTAACTAAGTTTCTTTCGATATTGAATTGAATTTCAATATCAACTATACATAATGTGTGTGTTAAAAGCATTAAAAAAAGTGTGTGTTACAACAAATAAACAATTTATCTATCTATCTCACGCCTCTTCCTGATTGGTAGGGAGAGGTCATTTCCAACCGCCGCTCGTTCGCTTAGGCTGGGCACTGTCGGAGCGTGTCAGTCTGCTGCGGTGACTCACGTGCCAAGACTGCAGTGTTAACTGACAACCATCTACAGGCTCTCGGCCTATACGGTGGAGGAATGGCCCGAAGAACCATTGGCCCGGTAGAACCTGGGTCGCCCTATGTGTGAGGCGATCATGCCGTCTCCCACTCACTCCTCTAATACAGGTAGAACTGCCTCTATGGTGCGACGTAAAATTTGGCTGACGGCCACGCGTACCCTTCAGCACTCTAGGGCCTAGAACCTAGATCCTCAAGCCTCTACCTTTTGGTTTCCACCTCTCGTGGTGCACGTACACGTACATTTCCCCTTGGGACCACTAATGGTATGGTCACCACTATGGTCACCTCGCAACTGGCGTCTATTCTCGGTTGTCGACACTAGCTTTGTCGCCACTGAGGATAAATGGCATAAATAATATCGATTGTCACCAGTGGCGACACATACTTTCCCAGTTGTAGCTACAGGCTTTCTCACAACTTATGACAAATTTGTTATTGTTATTTTGATGTTTTATTAAATAAAATGCATATATTTAATTCTTTGTGATTTATTTTGTACCACTAAGAATATTCACGTTTATTCCATTTCCAGATAGTTCAAATTCATAGATATAATTTTGATCAAGATTAAAAATCAAACAAATAAAAGGCGATTAGATTTCTATAGAAAATATTCTCGATTCTAAAAAATATCGATTAGGTTTATAAGGAGCGCCGCACTAAATAGAACTGTCATAATCACCATCTTACGATGAATGGACTATAGTAGGTTAGGTTCCTATACTATCCTAAGAATTATTGATTACCTACATGGCCAACATACCTTTCAGCATCTTTGGGAAGCGAAAAAAAAAGATAAATCCGGTAGATTACTGTTCGAATTTAAACACCCGAACGCCGCACAATATTTCTTTCTCTTTATGTCCATTTTTAAATAATACTTCGATCATAGAATTATAATCATACTACAACGCACGCCAGCGTCCTGACGAGCGCGCGCGTGACACTCGACTGATATAATACCCGCCGGCGGGGCGCTTCTCTGTAGGTAATTATCGGATGTACCGCGCGGAGTGAGCCAGGCCTGCTGGAACTAACATCAACAAGACGAGGCAGTGCTTAATTTAAACACTAAATACNCGACTGATATAATACCCGCCGGCGGGGCGCTTCTCTGTAGGTAATTATCGGATGTACCGCGCGGAGTGAGCCAGGCCTGCTGGAACTAACATCAACAAGACGAGGCAGTGCTTAATTTAAACACTAAATACTCACATGTACGGTAGACAGCATGGTATCATCTTTTTTCCCGTCTCAAGCATAAATAATAACGCCATCTATGAGTGAAAATTGAAACTAAAATTACGCTTTTTGGTGCCAAATAGCAAATACTTACATGTACGGTAGACAATATCGCCTGTCGTAATACGTCAGCGTGTCGCGGGTCGGGCGTACGTTCACGCGCGTCATTCAGCGCCGACACGATGCGTGACGTCACCAGGCATGGGCTTACCCAGGGGAGGGGGCAGGAACTAATAATCTGACCCCCTACTAGGCCAGTAGCTAGATACGGCCTGTCTGAACACCTAGGTAGGTAGTAGCCTAAAGCCCGTATTCGCAAACGATGCTTGCTTAAGTGAAGCATCAAAACGCACGCATAGCGTTGAATAGAGCTCTGTGATTGGTTTGTGTGTTATTGGTTCACCCTGTGCGTCCACGCGCACTGTGAGACCTCATAGTAGTGTTCGTGAATACGGGCGTAAGAATCTGACTTACCTCAATATCTGGGGCAGAAGCTGGGTACACTAGCTCTGAACCTATAGACTTTTAACTCATAATAAACCATCTCGTTTTTTCTATTTATATATAAAAAAACATGGAAACAAGTAAGGATATAACGCCATCTATGAGTGAAATCTGGAACTAACAAGGCGTGGCAGTGCTTTAATGCTTTAAACAGCAAATACTCACGTGTACGGTAGACAGTATCGCCTGTCGCAATACGTCAGCGTGTCGCGGGTCGGGCGTACGTTCACGCGCGTCATTGAGTGCCGACACGATGCGTGACGTCAGCGCGCCGCGTAGAGGCTGGACCAGCACGCGCTCCCACGTCACTAGGCCCAATTCGCCCACCTGTGGGCAAGGATTTTTTATTTGACAGGGCAAACGGATCACCTGATGGTAAATTGAGTTGAAGAAGTAGTAAAACAGAATCTAATATTATATTAGATTCTGTTTTACTTCTTAATTTGTAACCGTATTCTGGTAAATAAATGATTTATTACTATAATAATAATAAATCATTTATTTGCCAGAATACGGTTACAAATGGTTATAAAAAGAGAAGTTTCTAACATATTCTATCGTACATACGATGTGCAAATATTACAAAAAATACGGTTATGTTTTTAATTAATATTAAAAAGTAGTATCATTATTAATTGAATATCATGCAAATGTCAGAAAATGATTATCTATCAATGAGGGCTATCGTTTTTATATTAACAGTTGGCACCCCTGGCGATTGACAGGACCTTACTCTACAGTGGCGCCATCTTGATGAGTACAAATGCGATAGTCCTCCTACCACTTTAGCGCTCACAAGTTGGCGCCATTGTCTTCGCTACTAGCAAGTGACAGGACCTCACTCTACAGTGGCGCTATCTGGTGAGCGCTAAAACGATAGCCCTCATTGGTATAATGATGAATCCAAATGCGACTCGAATTCGTCGTTCGGATCTAGAAAGCTAAGAGAAATCAGATGATGAATATTAGATCTAATGCGTAAACTATCGTACAAATAACTCTAGGACTATTTCCAGACAATATTCATTCACCGATTCTGATCGAATGCATGGACCCATTTTATGGAATTACTAACTTTTGCCCGCGGCTTCACCCGCGTGCAATGTTTGTCACAGATCGTCATAAATTGTAGCCTAATGTTATTCTGGGTTATAAACAATAATACTGTAAAGTTTAATCAAAATCCGTTCAGTAGTTTTTGCGTGAAAGAGTAACGACATCCACACAAACTTTCGCATTTATAATATTAGTAGGATTCTTCTGACAAATGTAATTATTTTCGCGATTTTCACCACTTCTATCGTCTCCTATACAGGGCGATTCTTAATTTTACAGCTCTTTAATGTAAAATATTTTTAACAGTATGTTAGTGTGCCTACAATAAAGCCACGATAGCCGATGCCGAACGGTGAATCGGCAAATGACTCGTGATCCGGGGAACGCGGGTTCGGTCGACTATTTGTGGTGAGCTCACTCGTGACACAAGCATATTTAGCTTAGTACGAAGGGCTAACGGGAGTATTAGTAATTTGAGAAATAACAAATCTATACAGGGTGTTAGGTAAATGGGTATATGAGCCGACACTAGCCCATGTTAACATGGTCATATAAATGGTATGGTGAAGTCAGAAATTTGATATTATCATTTTATTTTTATAATTTTCGTATAAAATAAATTTTATTAAATCCGATTTGTATGAAAATTAAAATAATTAAAATGAAGATATCAATTTTCTAACTTTACCATACCATTTATATGACCATATTAACATGGGCTAGTGTCGGCTCATATACCCATTTACCTAACACCCTGTATAAATAAAAATGAATTGATGTTCGTTAGTCTGATTAAAACTCGAGAACGGCTGGGCCGATTGAGCTTATTTTGGTTTCAAAATGTTTGTCGTAGTCCAGGGTAGGTCTAAACGGTGAGCAAATACGCGCGCGATATTGTTTTTCTGTGACAGACAAAATTCCACGCGGGCGAAGCCGCGGGCGGAAAGCTAGTTATTTAATAAATTACCACAAACTGTTGTAGAACTACCCATTCATAAATTCAAAGCACATAGTAAAAGTAGTAATGAAAAAGGGCTACTATAAAGTCGATGATTATTTAAAAGATAAAATTGTTTGGGATGCGTAACTGCATCATCATCATCATCTCAGCCATAGGACGTGGATATGGACCTTGTGGGTGAACGTCCCACGCTGCGTTTTCCGGTGCGCGGCCTCCACTCCAGAACCTTGCTGCCCCATCGGCCGTCAGTTCTGCGTACTGTGCCCTGCCCATTGCCACTTCAGCTCGCTAATCCGTCGGGCTATGTCAGCGACTTTCGTTCGTTTACGGATTTCCTAATTTCTGATTCGATCTCGTAAAGAAACACCGAGCATGGCCCATTGATAGGTGTTAAACTCCCTTATAAAACTGCATCAGTCGCTTACCTCGAGCTGCCTTGAGTCGTGCTCCGGGCAGCTGACCGTGGCTGCCGAGCCGTATATTATCTCCGCATCTGATACCTGAAAACAATAAATAATTTATTGTTTTAAACTTTAATGTTCACTAACATAATAATTATTATTCACGGGATTGCTACCATGTACCATCGGCAACAGTGTTAACTATCCATTGTCTGTCATGTCGTCTCGTTCTATCGCAAAGAATCACCATTTGATGAGAGCGAGAGCAAAAACGGAAACGGATAGTTAACAGTGAGGCCGTGTGTACCTTAATTAGGCTTGTGTACAGTGGCGGCGTAAGGCGTAGGCGACGTGGGCCACCGCCTACGGCCTCGCGGTACAAGGGGCCTCGCGCATCAAAAATTTTGAAACATTGACTATTAAATATAAATTATTGATAGATAGCTAAACAATGAAGATAATTTTTATTCCAAACAAATTCAGCCATAATCAGACACAAAATTAAGCAACAACACGTTTTTAAGTGACAAACATTATTCTTTGGCGCAAAATTCCTTTAAAAATAATCACTGAATCAAGAAATCAGAAACTGTCAATGAATAGACCATTGACCGTTTTTTTTATTATTTCATAAAATCCGTCTTCAGGTCGCCACTGAACAAGGCCTCGCGAAATCTGTCTTGCCCACATCAAATTTAGGTCTTGCCCCGCCACTGCTTGTGTAGTACATGTACTATGTACTAATAGGAAGCAATTCCTTTAAGTGAACGAGAACGAACTATTCCTTTTTGGTCGTTCAAATCGGTCTTTTAGTTCACTTTAGTACAGCCGATCACTAATGAATAGGTGTGATCGAGACGTGAAATTGATGACAAGCGCGCGCGAGCGAGATGGATTCGGCTCTGTGGGAGTGTTGCGAGTATTTTGCGACATTGTACTATAAGGTGATAGTAATAAAGACGTTTTTCGTCCGATCTTATTAAAAAATCGATGTAATAAAATGAACTAATAGTGCAAGAATGACACGTGAGATTAGTGACATGTGACACAAAATATAACAGAAGGTAAACTCCATACTAAGCGCGCTCGAGCCACGCACACATAGACACCGCTCACGTACGCGTTATCAAGACTGTCTCGGACGAATGCGAGGCGTGACTGCGTTCGCTTGAGTGACGCTGCTCTCATGCGTTTGTTAGAATTAATGGGTATTTATCAAAAACTGAAGGAACTAAATCTATTATGTTAAGGATGGAAAAAACTCAGTAAATTAAAAGGATCGTTTATTAAAACTCATACCAATTGATATTACATTTATATTACAAAAATAAACTTTTACTACTACCTTGTATTTATCGATTCAACAACCAAGTAATTAAATTTAAAATAATTAGGTACCTCATAAACAAAATACAATTTCTTTATTAAGCTATTAGTCTTATGTTCTACTTTTAATGTAAGTAAATAAATACTCTTATAACCTGATGTATATAACCCACATTATTTTATTATGTACATTGTCTCACAATAATGGGATATTGTTAGGTATAAATATTATGTTCATATGTACCAATATACATATTACTCAAGATCTAGAATTGGTTAATACTAAGGTTTAGGACCGTGACGTATAACCCATAATTATAGGCATTTGCCTCTCTTTTATAGTTTAGTCAACAAACTACCGACCCGACCCCGTGGCATGTCACCATCAGGTTTAGTCAGGTGTCAACACAATAGGATCATAATACAATAGCACAATAGCACAATAGCACAAAATACAATACAATAGCACAATCAGCATAGTAATAGTAAATAAAGTATGTATACTTAACTTGGCTCAGCACCTCCACAAATATCCGCTTTAGACTGCCCATCAATGAGAAATTCCATCTATTTATACCCAAATTCTCCCTCCTTTTTTACTCAACTTCGATTGGTCGGCTTAAACGACCAATCAGAACAGTCTACCAATCAGAGCACAGGATTTTATAAATATTTTTATTCGGAAGCGGAAGTTGGAGTTTCTCATTTTACAATATATCAAAAACAGGGTTTTAATACTTCTTATATTTAGAATCACATATCTAAATTAAATTCTGAATTATTAAGAAACAACAAAACTTTCAATAAATTCTAATTTGCTAAATGGAAATCTGAATTCTAATCTGACAGTTAATATGGAGGCGGTGCAAATGTTCGGTGTCTGTAGTGTTTAACAAGTGAAATAGTGTATCAATTATGTTTACTATGGAATATTAATATAAATCAGGTATGTACATTATATATATTCTAACACNGTTTTGTGTGTGTAGTGTTTAACAAGTTAAAAAGTGTACCAATTATACATATTTACCATGGAATATTAATATAAATCAGGTATGTAGATATATATATTCTAACACGGCCATACTGACATGTACTTCGTTCTCGAAGTACTTTTCGATTTTATAAAAACAATACAGTGTTTACCTTTTAATTATTCAAATGTGAATTAGCTTGATGTATAACTACAGGAATAGCCACAGGCATTAAGCCACAAATATTTAGTCATAGTTACTTAGCCACAGGCATAGTCATAAATAAGTATTAAGCCAGTTATTTAGCCACAGGCACAGCCACCAGGCACAGCCACAGCCACAGTCATAAGTATTTAGCCACAGGCACAGACACAGGCACAAGTATTTAGCCACAGGCATAAGTATTTAGCCATCAGGCACAAGTATTTAGCCACAGGCACAAGTATTTAGCCACAGGCACAAGTATTTAGCCNTCTAACACGGCCATACTGACATGTACTTCGTTCTCGAAGTACTTTTTCGATTTTATAAGAACAATACAATGTTTACATTATAATTATTCAAATGTAAATTAACCTGATGTATAACTACTGGAATAGCCACAGTTTAGTCATTAGTATTTAGCCACAGGCACAGCCACAGCCACAGGCACAGCCACAGCCACAAGTATTTAGCCACAGACACAGGCACAGTCATAAGTATTTAGCCACAGCCACAGGCACAAGTATTTAGCCATCAGGCACATGTATTTAGCCACAGGCACAAGTATTTAGCCACAGGCACAAGTATTTAGCCAAAGGCACAATCATAAGTATTTAGCCACAGGCATAGTCAAGTATTTAGCCACAGGCACAGCCATAGGCACAGCCATAGGCACAGCCACAGGCAATACAATTATTATACGTTCTAAATAATTTGAAAATTAAATAGCATCATCAACAGCAGCGTCATTATTATTTAGTTCTCCAGGCCAATATCGTAATTTATCTTTAGAAATGATAAGGTTTCTTTGTCCTCTGCCACGCAAAGCAAAACGATCATTATCCATAACCTCAACAATTTCGTACGGTCCTCTGAATTTCGGTCGCAGTTTTTCATGACGTCTATGATCTTGATAAACGTAAACAATATCTCCTACATGGTAAATTCTTTTATTACGTCGTAAAGAGTCAAAACGTTCTTTAAATTTTTGAGCAACTCGACTAAGACGATTATGAGCCAATTCGCGATCGGCCTGAATATCAAAATCCTGCTGCGCATTATGACTGCCGAAAATTTCGTTGAGGCGAGCCTGAACACTAGGTATATTTGCGTTACTGCCAATTAGTAATCTAATAGGAGAGAAACCGGTGGACTTTTGGATAGTAGTGTTTATAGACTGTTGTACTTTCCATATTTCGTTCGGCCAATCTGACGTATTGTTACATCGAGTAATTAACATGTTGGTCACGGTCGAGACGTATCGCTCGGCTTGACCGTTTCCCCGAGGTGTTCCAGTGGCTATCATATGGTGTTCTACTTCTAAATCTCGAAACAGCTCACGAACTTGGTTGGAACTAAAGTTGGTACCACGGTCAGTGATTATCAATGACGGAGTACCAAATAGGGTTATTGTGTCTCGAATTATAGGTACTAACTCGGCAGCGCCTAGGGTTTTCAGCTTTTTCAACATGCAGAATTTTGTAAAACCATCGATAACCAGTAAAATATATTTGTATCCTTCTGGAGATTGTGGGAAAGGTCCCGTACAATCCATGTGAATGGTGTGAAAAGGCACAGCTGATTTATATATTGGATGTAACAAACCGTCTTTTGGACCTGAACAACCTTTACGTTCTACACAAATTCGGCAGTGATATAAATATTTTTTAACGAATGTTGTCATAGCCGGAAACCAGAAATTCTCTTTTATTTTATCAATAGTTTTAAAAAAACCTACATGGCAGTTATCGTCGTGAAATAGCCTTAAAATGTCAAACCTGCTATTTTTTGGAACAAATAATTTTGGAGTCGTATTTGGGTCGTACTTATAATACAACAAATTATTTGATACCATGTATTGATTTGCATCTAAATCTCCTTCTTCGACCCGTTGAATTAGGTTTAACGTTTCTGGGTCGTTTTGTTGTGCTATCTCTAACCATGACCGGGAATCATTTGAAATCAAATTAATTGTTGCATCTACTATCTTTGGCTGTTTTGTTGGAATAGTTGCCTCAATAGGGTTACGACTAAGGAAATCCACGTGACTGATAAATTTACCCTTTCTATAAACTATCTCAAAGTCGAAATCCTGAAGGTATGTCCACCAACGTGCCACTCGCGGGGACAAATCTTTTTTATTTGACGTAGACTTAATAGCATTACAATCAGTTATGATTTTAAATTTAATTCCTAATAAGTAAACTCGAAATTGTCTTAAAGAATTGTAAATAGCCAATGTTTCAAGATCATATGAACTGTATCTAGATTCAATTGGTGTGGTGCGTTTACTAAAATAAGCAACTACTTTATTTACATTGTTATGATCTTTTTGTATTAGTATAGCACCATAGCCAAGCGAACTAGCGTCCGTATGTAGCTCTGTCGGTAAATCGGGATTATAAATTGCCAATAACGGTTTTGAAGTTAAACATTGTATAACATAATCACGGGCAGTCTCTTGTTCAGAGCACCATTCCCATGTTTGATTTTTGCTTGTTAACTTAGTAATACAAGCCGTTCGTGGAGCGAATTCGGGTATAAATTTCCTAAAATAACTAGCGAGACCCATAAATTGACGGACTTGTTTAACTGTTT